TGGTTTTATAGAGGAGAAAACTGTGTAAACCCTATAAAAGTTAAGATTTTTACTATGTTCTCCTTCATAAAAATTAGACATCTGGTAACATAATTATTAGGGCTAGACTGGTTTTCAATGAAATATAAACATAAGAGATGGTGCTTGATATACTCAAATATGTCTAAAATTTTAATTTATTTTATAAGGCTTCTTTTTAGACAACAAAAAGTACTGTTTTGCAAGATGCTATCATTTCATGCAAAAAATGGAGTTAAAGGATTTTACAGAGCCAGTAAAAATTTTAGGCTAAACATGGGTGAGTTTTTATTTCATTACAAAGCATTTTCAGTCAGTATACATTAATATATATTTATGATAAAAAAGCATTTAGCTTGCCAAAAAAAATTAAAATTCTTGACCTCTTGTTTTTTATTAAAAATTAGTTATAACATGTCACACAAAAAATTTTGTATATATCATTCAAAAAGTTTAGAGTGACTATTTTATATAATATTACATTAGAATTTTATATATGTTTTTTTAATTTTTATATAAAAAAAACATAAAAATGTTTGCTTTAAACTTTGACATATTTGAATTATTTTAAATAAGAATTTATGGTTTTAACTTTTAGTCTTTTAGACTAGCCAAAACTTGTTTATCATTGTCACTAATATTATTTTGTGTAATCTTTTTTATATCTTAAATTTTTTAGTCAAAGTGATAGTAGTAATAGAATATCTAAATCAGATATAAACCAGATTTAGCCCATTTTGTAATGATTAAAAAAAATAAGATAAAAGTTTTTAAATATTTTATTATGCAAAATTTTAACTAAATAATTTGCTTTTTTTAGACCTGGGTAGTTTTAAGAAACTTTATAGTACAGAGATAAAAGGTATGGATGTTTGCAACGATTAGTTACAATTTATATAATAATTTACTATTTATATAATAATTTATAATTTATATAATAGTTTACAATTTATATAATAGTTAGGAAAAGAGTAATAATAATCAAAGTGTAAGCATTTAATCGTATTTTGCTATTAGAAAATTAAATATTTTAGTTGATGTTTATTAGTGTATCAGACAATTCCATAGAGAAAAACTAAATCACATATTTTTAGACTTTAACAGTAGTTTAGTAGTAGCTTAACTTCGTTGCAGAAATGGATCCAGTATTTTTTGATGTTTGAGCCAACTTCCAGACATAGAGCAAACCCTAAACATTTATATGTTTACACTCTTGTCAAATAAGCATGATTTACAAAAAATTATGATGATTGGGCCTGAAAACAGAAATATACCTAAATTTTTTTTTTTTTTTTATGTTAGTTTACCTATTTATTTTGGTACTAAAGTCATAGTTTTTTGGTACTAAAAAATAACTCAAACATAGGTTACAATTTAAAGAGATACTTCCAACATAGGTTTTACTTGGCACAACAAGCAATGCAGTTAATGCATAAATAATTACTATTAAATAACCCAAGTTAAAACAATGGGCATTTTTTTTTTCTTTTTATTAAGTTCATCTGCCTAAGGCTCTATTGTCGAGAGACACTACAATCAAGGAGGCTACTCAATTTTTACTTTTTAAAAATTTATTTGCGACTTTTTTTAACCCTAAACCAGTATGGAAAATTATTGCCGGTCAATGACCGTTTAAAATTACTAAAATTGCTCTTTCGACTCCCAAATTGAATTCTTGCCAGTCATGTTTGACCAGTTAAAAAAAAAATCAGAGTTTTGGAAAACAAGGTTTTACAAATAATCATGATTTAATTTGGAAAATGCATATACTAAAGTTTTATAAAACCAATTAGATTCTATATAAATCAGAATAAAAAATGGTGGGTTTGCTTATGAAGTTTTGAGCAAATCCAATACAAGATATAAAATTATATATTGCGGTAGTGGTGTAGTGGTAGAGCGGTCGCTTCATAAACGAGTGATTCCGAGTTCGATCCCCACCATGTCCCTGGTAGTACTGCGCTCAACTCGTTTCTCCGCGCAGCGGCCTTGTTCGTCAAGGTTCGTGTTTTGGAGTTATAGAGTTGAGAAAGGGTTATATCCACAAATAAGTAGCCTCCTCGTCTGTAGTGGCCTTCTGGGCCTTAAGAAGGTGAATTAAAAAAAAAAAAAAAAAAATCCGACCTTTTAAAAAACACTGATTTAAATATGCGTTTAAAGTAGTTTTATTGTTTACGACATGCTTCTTTAATTTGCATCGTTGACAAATATATGACATATACCTATATCACTTTTTTTTTTTGCTTCACATTTAAATTACTTTCATTTTACTGGTGGTTAAAAAACCTCTATTCCATAAATGATTGAAGTTCTTTAATTATTATTGGGTAATTCCATGTAAAACTGGAACAATAAATGTAAATTTTTCAGTCACCCTCTCAGATTTCTTTCAAATTTAACCCAATGGTACCTATCAATGTAACATGAAAAATTGTAAAATTTTAGCTCCTAAAATCAAACGGTTCAAAAGTTTTGGCATTTTGAAATTCAGCCTAAAACGTTCCTTTTTTTGCCAAGTCCGCCATTATGGATTTTGTAGTTGTACTTTTTAATGTATAATTAAAGATCTAGTTAAAGAATGAGGCTAAAAATGGGTACCTGACCATTTTTGAGGGTGCTGAATTCAAAAATATAAAGCAAATAGTAAAATTTAAATTTTATGATGGTTATTTTTTGATTTTAAAATGGTCAGTCCAATTTTTTGTTCTGTTACCATGGGTTGCGCTTTCATCAACTCCCGGAGTTGCCCAAGTCTCATAGATTAATTTTTTTTCAATCAATTTTTTTAGCTATAGTTTAGGTGTAAATAATTTAAGTTTTAGTCGAAGAAACTGACTGAAAATTGGTACCTGACCATTTTTGAAGATGCTGAATCCAAAGTAGAAAAAAAAATAACCTAATTTAAAATGTTAGATAACTGTTTTGTTTTTTTGAAAATAGTAAAAAAGCATATTACAATAAAAAGAGGTAAGGTTTTCACAAGTTTCCTGATCACAAGACTCTCATGGGTTCAGTTGTGATGTGTAAAAAGAATTTATTCAGGTAGGTTTTTATATATAAATGTTTTATATATAAAAACGAGTTGAAATACTGCCAAAAGTCAATCAGTGGGATTACATTTGTGTACGTCACTGCTAAAGAAATGGAACTAGTAAGGATCAAACTTGCTAATATACTATTAATAGCAAACACTATTCCTGGGACAAGAAGTTTCCATCAATTTATACCTTCTTCTCATTCAATTATAAAAATGTAAAGGGTATCTGATGATGATGATTTTTCTCTAACATTTGTCAATAAAACAAAAATACGAAATTAATAAAATTGAAAATGTTATGATGTCACAATACCTATTTTGCAAATACGACGATTTTTACTGACTTGGAATGGTTTCTGAAGTTGATAAAAAGAATGACGATTTTATGGTAAAGTTTATGCATCCAAATTATTCAAGTCAGTCGTACTACTGGCCAGAGCGGGATGATAATTGCTGGGTGCCAAAAATGAATGTCATTTCTCTTGTTAAAACACTGTCAACATCTTCTGGGCGTCAGTACCACATCACAAAAGAAGACGAAACTCATTTTGAACATCTTTTATCTTGTCAATGAAAGTTGATGAATATTTTACTTTCATTATTGAAATTATATAAACTTCAATTTTAGTCATATTTGGTTTAATCTTTTTCCTTTTTATTTTTGAGATTTTTTCAATAAAGCAGATTTTTACTATTTTTCAAAAAGGTTTGAATTTTAGTTTCTTATTTTTAAACACAACAATACCCTATTATTAGACATAAAGTAATAATGTTACGTTAAATTATTATAATTAATAAATAAATTATATTTTCAATGTGTTGTATAGTAAATTACATTTCCATGTATACTTTTGAAAACATTGATTATAAATATGCAAGTTATGCAAAGCATTATAATTTTTTTATTTTCTTTTAGAAACCTAAACTTTTTTAAGACCTCTTATTTCACAATAAGAGTAAGGCAACTCCAGAAATAAGGAAAGATAAGCCATGGTTAATAAATAAAAAAATTTAACTGTTGATATTTTAAATTGAAATATTATTCTCAAATACTAGGAATAAGGTTCATTTATCTTTATCTTTGTATTCAATACCTTTAAAATTGGCCAGGTACCAATTTTCAGTCATATTTCTCCACTAGAATTTTAATTATTCACACAAAAAGTATCGCTATAAAGTCTATAATGGAGAATAAAGGCTAAAAAATGATTTTTTTGTCTAAATTTCAAAATGACATATCTTAATAATTCTTGAAGAAACCAAAACCATCTTTTTTATAACAATAGCCTAGTATCACCTACTTTGTTTGAAAAAAAAAATTGAATCCACGAGACTTGGGCAACTCCAGGAGTTGATGAAAGCGCAACATATGGTAACAGAACAAAAAGTTGGACTGACCATTTTAAAATCAAAAAATAACCATCATAAAATTTAAATTTCACTATTTGCTTTACATTTTTGAATTCAGCACCCTCAAAAATAGTCAGGTTCTCATTTTTAACCACATTCTTCCACTAGATTTTAAATTATTCATTAAAAAGTACAACTACAAAATCCATTATGGCGGACTTGGCAAAAAAAGGAACGTTTTAGGCTGAATTTCAAAACGTCATAACTTTTGAACCATTTGGATTTGAAAGCTTAAATTTTGCATTTTTTAATGTTTCATTATAATGTAGCACCTGGTAAAATTTAAAGAAAATCCAAGAGGTGACTGAAATGACTGTCCCAGTTTTACATGGAATGACCCTATTGTTATAATAAAAATATTTAATAAATTATCTTTATAATAAAATAAATTTATATGATAATTGCTATATTTAGCTGAGAACATTTTTTCTTTTACTGTACTTTGTCACTTTTTTTTCTTTCTTTAAATCTTTTCATTTATTTTCTTATAAGTTTTTGCTGCAAATTTTATAAAGGTATGCATGATTTATAGATAAATTTAAAATTATAATAGAGTTCTTCAAAATATATATATTTAGTAAAATCTTGTTTTTTATATATTTATATATTTAGTAAAATCTTGTAACACTTGTAATTTTTTTAGTAGTGTTTCATAAAAAATGATTATTTTTTTAGAATTAAATATTTGTTTAAATAGTTTCTGCACACAAGTGTTAACAACATTATTAACAACTAATTTTAGCAGTTTTTAAAATGAGCAAATTTTAAAATTAAATAAAATTATAATTTAAAATTTTTGTAACTGAGAAAATTTTTTCTTCCAGCTGTATCTTTTTTTTTCATCATTAAATCTTTTCATTTTTTTTTTTTTTTTGCAGCTTTTTCCTGCCAATGAGAAGTCATTGCAATAAATGAATTTTTTTTTTGACAAATTCAAAATTATCAGTTGCGCGCTTGCACTTTTTTCTCTCTTTATCACTTGAATTGTAATGTAAATCAAATGTCAACCTGTCTCAATAGAGGCAAGTAAAAAGAGACAAACGACACTTTTATTTTTCAGTAGCATTTCTTAAAACGATTTCTTTCAGTATTAAATATTCAGTTTAAATTTTCTAAATATTTTGTTTTAATATTAAAAGAAAAAAAATAATAAACACTAAATTACTTGGATATTATCAAAAAAATTTAATAATGAAAATCTGTGTGTGCAAGTGTTATTTTAAATAAATTAGCATTAGCAGAAAATTTGAACTTTAGTTATTGCGAGTTTAAATTTAAAAAATTCATTGATTTTATTTTAAATTATTATTTTAGGTTATTTTTAATGAATTTTAGTCATTTATTTTTTTAGTCATGAAGAACTATTATTACTCAGAAGAAAATTTAAACAAATAAAAAAAATAAAAACTTTGACCACCCAAAAAAAATAATTGACTGTCAATTCTATGTGTTAGCTGATCATATTGACTTCTCACCTTCGATTCTTTATTTTCCACACTGCCCTAAACTCTAAAACATGTTTAACAAGACCGCTGGATTGAGAAGCAAAGTAAGTATGGGACTTTCAGAAGCAAAGAGTGGATTTCATAGCTAAGCATTCTACCACTAGTCTCTAGCACAATAGCTATATACCTTAACAACGCACATCAAAAGTACTAACAGAGAAACATTCCATGAACAACATGGAATTGTTAGTATTCTGATATTTTACAGCTGTTTTAAACATTTTACAGCTGTTTAAAAATTTTTAAAGCTGTTTAAAAGAAACAAAAAACACATTAGTTGTATCAAGAAGATCCAGTGTTTTTCATTATTTTATTTTTATACTTTATCTTATTAGGTGCTTAATAGATAAAAAAAGAAATGTAAGTCTGGTCAATGGCACTAAATTGATGATGAAACTGAAAATCATAAAGAAGAATGAGGCTTGACTTTGAACTGGCAAGAAGGAAAAAAGAATCCAGAAGGTTATATAGGAGATAAATTTATCAGCAGAAAGAAAAGACATCGGGTTTATCAGCAAAGAAAAAAAAATCCAGTCGGTTTTAGGGTGGTTGTAAATAGTGCGATGATAGGGTGAGCCCAAAGAAGTACAAGATGCATGGTTGGAACTATCTAAAAGAGAACAGGGAGAAACTGAACATAAGCTAGGGTCAGAGACAAGACACAAATCTAGAAGTGAATTTGATATAAGTTAGAAGAAAATTTGACTCGCTCATACAAAAAGCACAGCTATAAAGACAAGAAGATCCAGCATTCATTATCTTAAGCAGGAAAAATCGTAACAGGTTTACATCGTTGCTAACCTAATAGATAAAGAAGGAGTTTAAAGCTGGAGGCCAGTAGTGCTGAGGGTTTTAGTTATTGACTTAAGGTTTTATACATCTTGATTGTATATAAATTATAAGTAGTAATCTGTAATGAGAAATTTTATTACATAAAAACTAGTTCCAAAGTTTTTTATAAATTAAGACAAAATATCTAATACTATTCTTCAATTTTGGAAATGTTAGTAATTATCGGAAAATGTTAGTAATTATCATAAACGGAAATGTTAGTAATTATCATATCATTTTAAAAACATTTGTTAGCATAATTTATATTCAATAAAAAAATGACTAAATTTTTGTCTTTATTTTGTTTCCTTGTTTACATTTTATTTGACCTCTTTGTATACCTGCTGAGATAAGTACATGAATACCTAGTGGAATTTGTAAATATATATAGTAAAGTAAATTTTTAAAATTCTTAAAACTCCTTTTCAAATCAATGCTGTTTTGTGTTTCAAAACTTTTTCGTTAAGTTTGATAAAATTTATTTTTTAAATTTATTAATTTTTAGAAATCATGAAATTAAATTACTTTTTCTATTTACATGATATGGAATCTGATGGTTTTTAAAATTTTTCTATGTAGTTAAGTAAAATGAAATTGTAATAAAATCTAAATTTTTAAACTATTTATTTTAAAATAGTTTAGCATATAAAATGGTGAGCATGTCTCAAATTAAGTTAACTTATTAAAAAGATCATGAAGTATATTCTTTCCTTTTTTAAAATTCAACTAATAATCATTTTTGATTTTAGTTCAAAATAAAATCAATTAAATGATAAGAGGCCTTCCCAAAAGCATTAAATCAACAAATTAAATCAATTTAAAACTACGTCTTAAATACTTCAAGTATATTAGTTTTTTATTTATATTTATTAGTTGATAAAAATATACAGTAGTTTGATATGATGTATAAATTAAAGTTTATTTTTAGAACGCAATCATATTAATTATGTAGTGAAAGATAATGTTGCTGTAGTAACAATTAATGATAAGAACTCAAAAGTAAGTTGCTTTTTTCATGTTAATATCATATAGTTGTTAATATTAATAATAATATTATATATTTGTGCAAAAAATTGATTTTTCTGTGCTAGAGTATACTTGGTCAGGGTCTATTCTATGAAAAAATTTAGGGGGCAGTATCCCTCCATCCCAGAGAAATTTATCAGAAAATAAGCATTTTTTAATTATCTATAATGTTTTTTATATATTTTTGTATTAATGTTAGAGTATGATTGTGTAAAGTAGGGTAAGATTACAAAAATAGAGAGATGGCTCATAACAAGGTTTAAAAGGAGGATGAAAAAAAAATTGACATAACTAATTAAAGAATATTTTTGTTGAGAATAGCAGAATGAATGAAAAAAATATATTTAAGATTATAAGATCAAAAAATCAAGTTGAATATGATATTAGAGAGAGATATGAGGCATATAGCAAAATAATAAAGTAATGTAAAAATATAAAAATAGTGAGATAAAACAGAATTTAATAGAGGGAGAAGTATTAAATTTTCATAGAGTGAGAAGTATTAAATAACGGCAGTTAAATAGAAATTGTAAAAATTTGTATAAATTTTATACAAAAAATTTTGTATAAAAAAAAAATTGAAACTTTAAATATAAGGTCATGCATAATAAAATTATGTATAGCCTGTATCAGCTATAAGCATAACCTCTGTCTGCTGTAAGCATAACCTGTGTCAGCCATTTACTTTATCAGAAATTTTTATTTAGGTTAATGTTTTGTCACAAAATGTTATAGAAGAAACAGTTCAGGTGCATATTTCTTATCAAATAAATATAATTAAATTTGTATTTTAATCTGTAATGTGAGATATAATAGTATTCTTTTGGCTTGATATACTTAACAATACTTAAATTAGTTTAGTTATATAGTGTTCATGTTATATATTTAATGTTAGGTTTTTAAAGAGGTTACACACAATCCTAATGTCAGCAGTGTTGTTTTAATATCTGGCAAGCCTGATTGTTTTATTGCTGGTGCTGATATCAATATGTTAAATACTGCAAACTCATTAGAAAAAGGAACAGCTATCTCTGTTGAAGGACAAAAAATAATGAATATGATTTTTGATAGCAAAAAACCAGTTGTTGCTGCTATCAATGGTTCCTGTCTTGGCGGAGGTCTAGAGGTAGTATAATAGCATTACTAGTTTTGGGTAACTTTGACATTTCTGTCAATGTTATTCCAATACCAAAATGTTTGTTTTAAGTAAAATCTAATAAAAAATCATCTTAAATAGTGAGCATTTAGAAATATTATCATAAAAAAAATATTATAGTATGTTTAATACATGCAAAATAATATTATAGTATGGTTTACTTACTTTTAGCTAGAGTTTTTCAGAAATAATTAAAATTGTGAATAGCTTTGAATTATGTCTGCCATATTGAGTTGTTAATTATTTTTTTGTTACTTTTACCTACCTGTCAATGTAAACTCTGTGTTACCTTTATTTAACAGTATTTTGATGGGCTCTACAATCTAAAAAAATTACAATTTGTTTATATTTATATGTAAATAAATTATATTAATATAAAATATTATTAATAATAGTAACTAAATAGTAAATAGTTTTATTAATTATTATCATTAATAATATAATAGTAATAATAATAAAAATATAAATCTGCCATTTGTGATGTCAATGCATTAAATTTATATTTATATTTTAAAAAACTAACTTTTATATAATGAAAATACTCATCATATTTACCCAACTTCAAATATTTTTACTAAATTTACATATTTGTTAGGTTGCATTGGCATGTCATTATAGAATTGCAGTTGATAGCCCAAAAACTGGCTTAGGTGTTCCTGAGGTAATGTTGGGTTTACTACCTGGTGCTGGTGGAACACAGAGGCTTCCCAGATTGGTAAATATATTCGACTATATATTTTTTAATGCACTGTTTTAGTTTTTGTTGTTTTTTATATTTTTTTATATTCACTATTTCAAGACTTAGTTCACTGTAACAGTTCTCATTTCTTAGTTTGTTTCTATGTTGTTTTAGTGAAAATGTTGTTTTCTTAAGTAAATGTTAATTTATTTGTTAAGCTTAAAATATGGGGTTATCTACTTATTAGAAACACCGCTGGCAAAGTGTCAGTTTTTTGACCTGCATGAAAAAAATTTAAAAAAAAAATACAAGATGAAAAATGTTGTTTAAATAAAAGCAAACTTCTGAGATTAGTCGATGCAGGACTTTATTTTTTTAAACATATTCGCGTGAAATTATAGTCATTATTTTTTGCTATTTGCTGTTTATTATTGTAAATGTAATTAATAGTTTGTAAATGATTAACAAAGACAACTAATTCAATTGAAAACATTTGTTTATTTGAAATTAAATAAGTTTGTTTCCATAGTGAAAAAATAATAGACTTGTTAGAGACAGCCTTTTTTGTCACGCAAAACTAAATTACTCGGTACAATATCTAAAATTTTCATATTTTAAAAAGTCAGTTTTCCTTAATTACAGAAAGAATTTAAATTTTCCCTACAAATACAAATCTTACAAATACAGATCTTACAGTCCTGCTTAAAATTAATACTAAATAACATTTATCAATTCCATTAGTCACATGATCTGCTCTAATGCTTTTAATTAGTAATTTAGGGTTAAGTAATTATGTGGTAGGTGTGTAGTAGTAAAGCACTCACTTGTGAGAAGTACAAAGTTCGTTCCCCACCTTGCCCTTGGTAGTACCTTGCTCAACTTATTTCTTTGCGCAGTGGCCTTGTTTTTCAAAGTTTGTATTTCTGAATTATAGAGTTAAGAGTGGGTTGTAACCACAATTTAAAAAAAAAAGTAGCGTACTAGATTGTAGTGGCAACCTTGGCCATGGAGAAGAGATAAACATAAAGAAATTTAAACACAGAATCTGAACATGTTTTCTCTTTTCTATGAAAGGTATTCTTATAAAGCTTTTAATAAAACCTTATAAGATATTTTCCAGGTTAGATTATTAATAATATTATTTCCTTTGTAAATAAATAAAATATCTAGGTAATTATGAGAATTTACAAAAACTTGCAAAAATTTCTTTAATCATCTAGATTTTAGCTGTGAGAGTTGCAAATTCCTAAAGTTTTTCATGCTAGTTCTGACTAAAAACAATACTTTAAGAGGGTGACGGAGCAACTTATTTCATTAATCTGAGATAGTTGTTTTTAATACATTTTGAAGATTGAGTTGGACACGGTTTGCCATATGTGGAAAAGGCAAGATTATATTAATAGAGTGGTCAAAGTTATACTAATTTCTTATGTCATCTATAAAATAAGATAATGCTGCATTTACAAATTTTTGAATAAAAAATATTTTATTAAAAATTATTATGAAAATAGTTTTTTTTTTTTTTTTGGCCATTAAATTAGCATAACAGTAAAAAGTTAAGAAACTTTACACTAGCTTGCACATATTCATACAAATGCTATTTAATAATGTATAAATACAGTAACAGTTCAGCAAAAAAACTGTCAAAAATTGTGGTTAGCACCAGTACTGCCAATAAAATGATTTAATAATGGGTAAAACCACCCTTTACTTTAAGCAGTTTGCGAATACGGTTTGGCATGCTTAAAACTAGTTTTTTACAATAACCAGTCATGTCTTCATCTCTGTGCCACACACTTGTGATTTCTTCAATTATCTGCTGCTTTGTTGTTGGTTTTAACTGGCTGAGTTTACTCGTAGTGGTGTTCCACAAATTTTCTATTGGGTTCATGTTGAGTGAATTGCCAGCCCGATCTAGAACACGCACCTTGTTGTCAGCTAAAAACTTTATGACAGATTTTGTCTTGCATAAAGATGCTATCTTTCCTGGGGTACCACGTCTTCATTTGTCATAGCAATCTTTCCTTAAGCACCTTCTTGTACTGGTCCTGCCTCATTGTTTTCTTAACATAGATACGGTTGCAGCCATGTACTGACATAACACTCTAGATCATCACAGACGTTGGATGTTTGACACGTTGAACCACACAGTCTGGATGAAACTTTTGTGTGGTGGATGATAGATTGATCTATCATCCACCACACAAAAAGTACTTTTATCGCTAAAGGCTACCTTCTCCTAGTCTTTCACCATCTTTGCCCATTCATACCGCTTCTTCATTATCTCTTCGGTTATCTTTTGCTTCTTTCTTGGTCTTCTTGCCACATTTCCACTGTTGAAAAGATATCTCTGTATTGATCTATCACTCAATTTTACTCCAGCTTTTTCAAATTGTTACTTATAAGAGTATATTTATTAATAAATCTATATTTTAATTAAAGTAGAAAAGCATATAAAAAAATAAAGTGGATATTTTTATAAAGTTGTTTAAGTATTTGTAAAAGTTCCTAAAGTTTTTAATAATATTTAAATATCCACTTTATATTTTCTAGATACTTATATCTATACTGATATCTATTTTTTTTAAAAACTTTAAAAAAAATAGATACTGATATCTATTTTTTTAAAAGTTAATAATTACTATTTTTTTTACTACTTTTAAAATTTCATTAATTTTACCCGAGAAAAAATACAAAAAAAAAAAAAAAAAAAAATTGTACACCGAACTACTGATTATCATAGCAGACAACTCAAATGAGAAATAAAAACTTTCAGTCAATAAAAACTTTCAGTCGCCCGCAGGACGACTTGGAAAAAACCAGAGGGTATACCCTTGATATATATATACATACACACATATATATATCATACATACATACATACATATATATGTATGTATGATATATATATATATATATATATATATATATATATATATATATATATATATATATATATATTATTTGAAATAAAGTGTATATATATATATATATATATATATATATATATATATATATATATATATATATATATATATATATATATATATATATATATATATATATATATACACACACTTTATTTCAAAGCTTCATTTTGAACTATTTTTTTTCTTTTTAAAATTGTTTATTTTAAGTAATAATTTAATATATATTTTTTAAAAACAGGTTGGTCTACCAACTTCTCTTGACATGATGCTGACTGGTAAAACTGTCAATGCTACTAAAGCAAAAAAACTTGGTTTAGTGCACAGTGTTGTAGATCAACTGGGTATGATCTTAAATGCTCATTGTTTAGTTACTAATAAAATGATTGAATAATATAATATGATATAGGATTAGGATTTTTACAAATTTCAGTTGATATACATCAACTGAGATTCCATATCAAATCCACTAAGTTAATGTATGTATCAAATCCTTTCAGTTGATATTTTTACATGTATATGGGATCCAGCATGCAGTGCAAACACAGTACAATTTATTTTTACGAGTTATATTAAATGATGTCATTTAACATTTGCTAGAAAGTATTATTTAGTTTTGATTTCAAAATAGATGGGTTTTGCTTTCTGTGGTGTTCAACTACTTGCAAAAGATATTGATTTCGCTTTTCATTTAGGGCAAGCTTACAGAATTTGCCCATAAGCTTAATTCTTCTTTTGGTGAAATCATTTGTTACCTTCAAATGTTTAATAAAATCTTATGCAGTTTGATAACCTTAGAAGAATGTCCATTCTTTCAAGGTAATCATACTGCAAAAGACTTTATTCTCCAGATAAATCCACAAGACAAGAATGTCAAGAAAGTCTTGTGGATTTATCTGAAGAAAAATTATCATAAGTATCATAAATCAAAAAGAAGCCGAGACTGTGGCTTGATTAAAAAAGAAATAAAGATTGATGAGTTCAATGTTTCCTTATTAAAAAAATTTTTTAATAGTAGGGTAAAAAATGTTTTTTTGCCATTATTGTTCTGATGAAGTCTGACAAATTTTAGTAAATTTTAGTAAGGGTAAATAAAAATAAAATAACAAATAAAGATAAGATAAGATGCTCTTCCATAAATAAAAGTTAACTCTATTGTACCTGTGTTGCTTGCTGTTGTATACTGTTGTATGTTGTACAGTTGAATCTTTAGTTAAAGGTACACCAATATGTTTTTGTCTTCAAGTTATAAGTTAAATTAATTTCTTTGAAAACAATAGTAACAAGTATGCTTAGTTTATATTAAAAATGAATATCGGTTGACTTTTTCCTAAGTTCTCAATCAGTCTTGCTTCTTTTGGCATTCTAAAAGGTTTTAAAATAATTGTTAAAAATAATTTTCTGCAACTGATTTACTACTCTCCTGATTTTCATAAAATGCCTAAACATTTTACCATTTTGGTCTTAGTGATATCATCAACTGTTTTTATGCATTTAGTACTGATATGTCACATAGTTATTGAAGTTCACGTAAATGAGCGTATGTAGCTAACAAATTATTTTCTTGAAACTTGATAAACTGTGTATTTTGTTTATTTATTAGCCAATAATAATTATTTAAAAACTTTGGCATATAAAAGTAATTAAGACAATGCAACTAAAACAGTACTTAACAATAATAATTAAAAAAAAATTGTTTTATAAACACTAATATGAATAATTATTAGCCAATAATAATTAAAAAAATATTCACTTGAAAAATTTACGACTAGTTTTTAAGAATTTTAACCAACTTTTTTAACATTTCAACTTTGATACAATACTTTTTAACATTTACAATATTTTTAACATTTCAACTTTGATACAATACTTTTTTACAATCTTTTATGTAAGATTGTTAAAAAGTAATTAGATTATTAGTTAATGAAATTGTTTAAAATGAATGTTTATTTTAAAAAATTTCATTAACTAATAATTATTATTCGCAAACAACAATGCAATGATTCTTTGTGCTCGATTATGCTTAAAAACATAATTAACATATAATGCAATAACTTCTTTTTAAATGAAATTTATAGGAACAAATTTATAGGTAAAAATATGGCAAAAAGTTAAATTTTTTAATACCTCTAAACAATAGTCAATTTAAATTAATTTTGAGAATTTAGACAAATTTTTTGCTTATAATATTTTATATATAAACTTCTAGTAACTCAAGGTGTGAATTAAGTGATTGCAAGTTATCTAATGATATTTCTGGGTTTTTTTTCTCAGTTTATTAAAACTGTGCATGACTGCTAAAATAATAACTGTCAAAATTTACATACTTTAGTTTTTTGTTTTTTAAACACCAGTTGATTCTAGTTTTATAAAATAGAATTAAAATAATAGTTCCAAAAAGTACGCTCAGTAGTTTTAAAATCTTCTAGTAAAAAATTTGCTCAGTCATTTTAAAATCAACCAATAAAAAATTATACTAGCTATTTGTGCATTGTAGCAAACATTTAAATCTGATTATTAAAAAATTTAAATGTTTTAAATTAGAAATTAATTAAGTGATAATATAAATAATTAAAGTAATAAGAATATATGTTTCAAAACACCTGTCTTAAGTTTTATATAAATATCTGTGTTAGAAAGTTTCGAGCATTTAATTGACCGTTATATTTGATTTATAAAAAGATATTGAATAAGATATAAAAGTAGTCGCGATTTATTTTATAAACATTTGATCAACTCTAAACTTCTTTAGACTGTTGTGATTGGCGGTTCTTTAACATTGCATTATGTTCACTATGTTTTAATATTGCATTATGTTCACTATGTTTTAATATTGCATTGTACACTATGTTTTATTTTTCTAGTTTTATGTAATGATTTTTCAAATAAATTGAACTATTAAAGTTTAAATTATTGTTTTTAATAATAGTAATAATAATAATAATAATAATAATAATAATAATAATAATAATAATAATAATAATAATAATAATAATAATAATAATAACTATAATAATACTAATAATAGTAATAATAACTATAATAATAAAATGGTTCTATAATGAGATTTTATATCATAATTTCAAGATAAATGCATAAATGTTTTTTATTAAATAACATCTTCTGAGTTTCATGATAAAAACAGTTTTAGGTTTGAGGTTTTTAAAAACCTAAAAAAAATTTTAAAGACCAAAAAAACTTTAAAGACCATAAGCATTTTCACAGTTTGAATTTTTTGATCACCTAATTTTCGTCTTTAATAAACACAAGGAACAACACTGAAGGAACCTTGTGGTACCCCACAAGTTACTGTATGAATGAAACTGCTATCCATCAAGGATAGTTTTAGTACTGGGGTTTGAAAGAAATAGTTCAATTTTTTTTGTCAGACTATATTAAAAACCTTTCAATAAAGTGTAATACAACTGCTTCCATCGTACACACTAAAGAACCTTTCTATTATAATGGTTAATAAGTCAGTAGTGAACAAAGGGATCACACCCTGTTTTGTCAGATAATAAGTTTTTAGAATCAAGATAAATTATTAGGAGTTGGTTAATTAAAGGTTCAAAGACTTAACTAATAAATATATTACTGATTGTGCAATAGTTTGAGAGATCTGTGTAATCTCCAGAGTTTATAAAAAATGAAGCAACAGTAAATTTGTAAGTTTTAATATTAAATTTAGAAATTTCATGAAAAAGTTAATTTATGATGAATAGGTTTGAAAAACAATACTAAACATAAAATTAAAATATTCTTTAATCTACAAAAATTATATTATTACTTTTTAAGAGCTTTGCTTCTATATAAAATACTGTCGGTATTATATTACAAATAACAATTTTTAACATTAGTTTCAAATTATAACTTGTTGCTATAGGTCCTGGAGTCAGCGATAGCAAAGCAAATACAATGCGTTTATTAGAAGAAGTTGCTGTTAAGGCTGCTAAGTATGTTTTTTGCTTTAGTTAAGTTTTCAAATTTCTATATTTGATGATTTGACTAATACTGTAAATTAAAGCTAATAAAACATTTTGAATTACATATTTAAAATAAAGTTATTGTATATTGACATTGATAAGCCATACATTGCCTTATGGTTTTGTTTAATTGAATGCTCATCATTTTTTCTATATTTTCGCTGATTGGTAAATTATATCATAATAAAACAATAATTAACTGTTTATTATTTTTTAAGCATAAATTGTGAAAAGTGAATAAAGTTGTTAAATTGCTTTTGAATTAATTTGTTTTTTTTTTTTGTTTTTTTTTCTTTGCTCTTTAATTTCTATAAAAATATAAAAACAAAAAAAAAGTCTTTATGTTTTAATATTTTCTGGCACTTTCTAATAGTATTTTTTATGTAAATTGTTATAACAATTTATATATTTAAATTATTATAATAATTTATAATTATTATAATGATTTTTAATGCGTTCCTTTGAATTATTTTTTAATCTGATTGGATTTAAAAAAATAGAGATTTGGCATCAGGAAAGCTGCAAGTTTCGCAAAGCAAACCATGGTTTAGTTTAGCTGGTTTGCAACATAATATCCCATTATCATTTGGACCTTTAAGGGATTATGTTTTCAAAAAAGCTAAAGAAACTGTAATGAAAAAAACACTTGGTTTGTATCCTGCTCCATTAAAGATTCTTAAAGTAACTTTATTATAAATTGTTCTATAAGATTTATTTTGTAACATTTTTTTAATAATACTTAAAGAATTTTATTTTTAACATATTTCTATGCTTTTTATTATTTTTATACACTTTTTTAATTTTATTATTAGGCTACTCAAACTGGTTTAGAAAAAAATATTGAAGCCGGATTTAAAGAAGAATCCCAGGTATTGACAAGTTATCTTTTAATGTCTAATCTGTGTAATCAATAATTATTATTCTAGAGGGTTTTTTGTTTCTAAAATTACTAATTAAAGTTATCTAAACAAAAAAAGAGATATGAAAGAAAACAAAAAAATATATAAAGAGTTTGCTTTTGAAAGATTCCATTCTTGACAATATAATATAATTTTAAGATTAATTTTAAATAATTGTAATTTAAAATAAAAGTAAAAATTAATTTTAAAAGTTGGATCATATTTGCAAAATGCTTAAACATAGGTTTTTCATCCCAACATAAGTTTCAAAAAAAGTGAGAAATTGTTTGTGTACATACTAGCTTGTCTTTAATCTTCATCTCAAAGATTTTAAAAGAGACTTCCAACACACAGTAGAAGTTTATTTCAGCCTTTTTATGAAGTTTTTAATACGTGTGCTTTTACAAATGCAATCCAAAGACTCAGTTGAAAAGCTACCATTGCCTGAAGTAGCATGGTTAGTTTTTCATTGTATATATTTATTATTTAGTTAATACCCAAAATTCAGCTTTTATATATATATATATATATATATATTTAAATATATGATTTAAATGTTGTCATCTTGTATGAGAGTATATATGTTAAAAATATAAAAACATCAGTTAATATGAGTTCTCTCAATACTATTGTTAATTTATTTGTAATTTTCGCTGGATTATAGTTACCAACATTATCAGCTATAATATCATTATTGTATTATAATGGTCATAATTGTAATTAAAAATTACAATTATGAATTGTAATTAAAAATTACAATTATGACCATTATAAAAAATTACAAAAATTAAACTTTGACGTTAGAATGGCATCTTTGACATAAGAATGCAAAAAAAAGAGTCCAAAATTTAGTTTTAATGTATTGTCCTTTATCTATGTTTATTCCACCATAAATTAGAGAGCATTGATTTTTTTGAATCTCTAATGCTTCACAAACTTTCCTATCAAATTTATTATATTCTTCTTTAAGTGTTTTAACTTTATCCCAAATAATTTCTTCTCTACAGTCTTTTTTATGAAGAGCTATAGCCGACTGATAATACTTATCTTCCATCAAACATTTTTGGTGTTGTTAATATATTGTTCTAATTTGTAATTTTGTTTCACCAACATACACTTAGGAGAAATTACATTCAATTAAATAAATTTAAGGTTTACTGTTGTCTGGTAGCCTCAATTTGTTTTTTTATGTTAGTAGAGTCCTTAAATTATGATTAGATTTAAAAACAGTGCAGTAATCAACTTTCCGAAATATTTTTCTAAGTTTTGGGGATAATAATAATATCCAAGGTAAAGAGATAGTAGAAAGTGCATTTGGATTTGTTGATATTTGAATTTTGTTTGCATTAGGAATTTCGTTCATGTTAGTAGATCTTTTTATTTTAATCTGGTTAGCAATGATTTGAAGCTGACTTTTGTTATAACCATTTTCACTAAATATATTAATTAAAAAATTAATCTCCTCTTGAAGATATGCCTTGTTACATATGCTGTGAGCTCTATGAATATAACCTTTGAATATTGACTTTAAAATTTCCGTATCGTGATTCGAATGAGGTTTAATCTGAATATTGGTTATAGCATCTTTCCTATAAACTTTAAAATCTTATTTACCATTAGCATTGTTAATTATGGTGACATCAAGAAAATTTAGTGTTTTTAATTCATTTTCAGCTTCTATTGTATATTTTAATGATGGATGTTGTTTGTTAAGTATATTTTGGAATTGTTTTGCTTGTTGTAAATTAGGAAATCTAGCATGACTGTCTTCTACATATCGAAGAAAAGATTTAACATCAATAAAAGGATTTATAGTCTTCACTATTTTTAATACATTTTCCTCGTAGTGCTGTTAAATATATATGTATATATATATATATTTTTTTGCATTATCTTCAGTATGTACAATTATTAGCAGATCTAAGAGCTGTTGGTGTTGCTTGTGTTTAAGATTTCGAATTAAATTTCGGACGGCAATTTTTCTAAAAAATGTTATTTATTTAAGCACACTTGTTTTTTTAACATTTTAATGATTGATATATTTATTATATTAAATATGATTGAATTTTTAAATGATATAATGTATTAAATGAGTGATATATCAAAAAAAAACTAATGTTTAATTTTAAGGTTTTAAAGTAAAAATAAAAAAAATTGCTCTTGTAAATTTTCAAAGAACTTAAGCACTAAAAAAATTGTTTGCCATTGTTGTTATAGGGTTTTGGAGAACTTACACAGTCAAAAGAAGCTAAATCATTGATGGGATTATTTAATGGTCAAGTAATATTACTTTTCATAGTTGCTATCTCTTTTTTTTCTCCAATGTGGTAATTAAAGTATAAAAAACCTTAAGTTTTCTTGTAGACTGAATGCAAAAAAAATAGATTTGGGGCGCCAAAACATAAAGTTCAACATGTTGCTGTTCTTGGTGCTGGTCTTATGGGTGCTGGCATTGCTGAAGTTTGTTTATATTTGTTAAAATCATTTTAATTTTATTTTATTGTTATTTAAGTTTATTTAATTTTTTTTTGTAATCTTTATTATTACTTTTTTTTTTTTGTATCATTAGGTTAGTATTAACAAAGCCCATCATAATGTCATACTAAAAGATACTACTACAGATGGTTTATCTCGTGGTATAGATCAAATTTACAAAAAGTAATAATAACATTATTTTATGCAATCAAATATTTTATTCGTAAAATTTACTTGCTAAAAATAAATAATGCTATTACTATATAAAAATAAATAGTACTATTTCAGTGGTATAATATCAAAACCTTATCACTAAATAAGGCACTCTTTTAATTAAAATTTGTTAGTTTCTTGACTAAAAGCCTATTCATTTAGGATGATTACCAGAATAAATGCCTATTGCCTCTGATCATGAATTACATAGCTAAAAACAAGTTTTTTGTTGATAAAAATGATCAGTTAATCTAGGATTGATATTTCATAATAATGCAAAAGGCTTTGTTTTCATCATTTCTTTGTTTTCTGCTCTCAGACCTCACTATGATTTTGTGTGCAACATGCCACAATAATGTTTGTCATAAAATTAAGACTTTGCGCGATACTTATTATCTCCTACACAAATTTCAAATTCAATGAAATTGAAAAAGTAAGTTTAATAATTGAAATTTTGCCGAGGAATTATCAATCAGCAAGAGGTCATCAAATGAAATATAACTGCGAAATAACTAGTTTTTTGCCTTGACATTATTTTTTAAAAAACTGCATCTTTTTACTGGAATCGACTACCTACTGATGTCGTTAATGCTATCTCTGTGAGTTCTTTCAAAGCTAAACTTGACATGGATTTTAAATAATGTAATAAAGATTTAGCTAAGTGTATTTGGTACACTCACCGAATTATTGGACACAGCTATATTATATTATATAATAGTAATATAATAGTAATAGTAATATATTATAATATATTACTATTACTAAATGTTGTAACTAAATTATTCTTAACTAAAACTTAATGCATAATTTTTTTAACTTAAGTATTTATTACATTTACTCATTTTTGATTATTAAATTCAACATATGGTTATTATTTGCAAAAAGTATAAATATAAGCTTAAATTTCTGTTAAATTAACATATATTTAAAAATTAAAACTGTTTGATAATATTTTAGTTGTGACTGAGTCCAGTCAAAAAATTTAGTGCATAGGGTTCACAAAACATACATTAATTTAATATAAGCTTCACAAAATATAAATTGCACATAGTGCAATACTTAACAATAAGGTCTTATTTGCCCATTACCGAAATATTATACAATCAACAACAAAAATAATAATAAACAAAAATAATTTATATAACCAATAAAATTAACAATTGAAAATAAAATTTTATAAAACTAATAAAATATTATACGACCAGAGATCAAATGCTAGTAAATATTAGTAATTGAAGATAAAATTTTATATAACAAATTAGCCATAGACAACAAAAAATTTAGTTTTTTTTGAAAATATTTTAATGTACTATATATATATATATATATATATATATATATATATATATATATATATATATATATATATATATATATATATATATATATATATATATATATATATATATATATATATATATATATATTACTCATTTTTTATTAAATAATTTTTAGTTTTACAATTCTAATTTGTATCTATATTTTAGTATTAACTTGAGAGCAAGCAAAAGACAAATCACTACATTTGAGCGTGATGTTATTATGTCAAAGCTTCAAACTCAGTTAGATTATTCAGTAGGATTTTTATTTTGTATGGTTTTCCAATTTTCAATATTGTTATGGTTTTCCTTTTCATAAAGATTTAGTTAGATTCACACAATGTTTCTTACTTGCTCTCCTTTGTCTTACTTATTCTAAAAAACTTCATCAACTTTTGTTTCTGCAAAAATCAAGAAAAATTTTTCACTTTAAAAATCTTAACATTGAATTATTTTTCTTTTTGAATATATATATATTTTTTTATTAATTATTCACCTCCCCAAGGCCCGAGGGGGCCACAACAGTCAAGGAGGCTACTCATTTTTTTTTTTGTTGTAAATCGTGGTACAACCCTCTCTCAACTATTTAACTCCGAAACATGAACCTTGACAAGCAAGACCGCTGAGCGGAGAAATTAAGTTTAGCGCGGTACTTCCAGGGATGTGGTGAGAGTCGAAATTTAACTTTGAATCAAATAATTTATTAATATAGTTAATTTTATTATAGAAATACTCATCTGATTAGAATAAAAGAAGAAAATAAAAAATAAAAAAAGGTTCTGTTGCGTACTTAATACAGAGTTGTTAACAAGGTTAAAAGTAGCAAGACCAAGGCCAAAGCCACAAGTTACATGGCTAAGGCCAAGAGTTTTGAGGTCAAGGCCAAGGTTAAGAGTTTCAAGGCTAAGACCTACACAAAGTTTTTTTGGACTTAAGACTTCAATTTTTGCATTACATTAAGGTCAATTCTTCACAAAACTGTAAGTAGCAAGTACTGTGAAAATAAAACCACATTTTGTAAATATAAACCAAGTTTATGTGCAGAATTTAACAAAATCAATAAAAAAAATATGTATTTTTTTTTTTGACCGAGACCAAAGCAATTAAAGCCAAGGCCAAAATTTTCAAGACCAAGGCCAAGATCAACATATTCAAAGCCAAGGCCAAGGCCTAAATTTTTGGCCTTTAGGCCAAGACCAAGGCTAAGGACTAAGAACTCTGACGTAATATGAGTGAAAAAAAAATTCAATTTTACTTCAGTCATATTAAGATTTTTTATAACTAAATGAATTTTTATGACTGAAGAAAAATAGAAATTTTTTTTCAGTCATAAAAATTCATTCATTTATCCCTAAAAGTGATAATTAATTTTGTCTAAATTATCCTTTCTCTGTATTTATATGATGCATTTGTATTTTGCAACATTTTGTTTTTTCTAGATCTCCATTATTTCTTATAATATGCATAGAAATTATATATATATTTTTTAGTTTTTTTTTTTTTAACATAACGTGCAATAATAACTTTTTTTTTATTTCATTTAGAATTTTTCTGAAGCAGATATGGTCATTGAAGCTGTTTTTGAAGATATCAAAGTTAAACATAAAGTTTTACAAGAAGTTGAAAAAGTTATACCTGAACATTGTGTCTTTGCATCAAATACTTCTGCTATTCCAATTGCTGAAGTATGTTATAATTATATGTATTATTTAAATAAATAATAAAAATAAATAAATGCATATTTAGATAAGCAGTCTGATGTCATACTGAAATAGCTTGCTACCGGGGGCTTAAGTTCATACATCAACCATCTTATAGCTTACTGCCATTAGGAGCCCCACTACATCTACTAAGGGTTTGTGCTGGGGCAACAATTTTAAAAAAGCCACAAAAAACTTGAAAAGCGATTGCTCCCATTTTATCTTAAGCCCTTATATTATTTTTGTTATTCCTGATGTTGTTTTTGTAAAATATATATTTATACATTCTGCTAAGTACCAAAGAACATTAATAGGTGCTGTAATATAAATTCTAAATCAAAATATTTCAATGGCTTTCTAGATTGCTTCTGTTAGTAAAAGACCGGAGAAGGTAATTGGGATGCATTACTTTTCACCTGTTGACAAAATGCCTCTCCTTGAAATTATCACTACAGAAAAAACTTCAAAGGAAACAATTGGTAATTCTTTTGTTTTACAATATATTAAAACCTTTTAAATAAGTTAAAGTTAAGCTTATAGATTATAAGTAAAGATGACAGTTAAAGCTCTTTAGCCATGGTGAAGGTAACTTACCTAGTAGAAGGAAAATTCTTATATAAATTTTCTATTTAATTTTGCTCTAGGATAGTAGGAGCTTGAAAACTTTAGATTGTAATTTTCCTCGCGGTAGTATCAATAAAAATATTTAGATCTGGTAAACAGGTTAACGTCAGGAAAGACATCTGTTGTGGAAATAGTTTTGACTTAATATTACTAACATGATTTATTTTTATCAACATGTTCTATTATTATTAATATATTTAAATAAAAAAAATGGTATTATGGATTCTTGTTCGAACCACTGGTGGAACCATGGGCTCTAATTTTGAAAGAGAGGAAAAAAAAAAAAGAAACAAAAGGCATATGACCACAGTTAAAAATTTTGCCATTATGGTTTTTGTTGTTTTTAATTTAATAGTAAAGAGAAACTTTATTCATGCTGAAAATGTTTGTCTGTTTATTTTTTTTCTTTTGCTTAACCCCTTTATTACTCCTTTTGCTTAACTCCTTTATTATTGTTAACCCCTTTAATAAAAATTTGTCAATATAAAACTATTTTAATGCTATTTTAACTATTTTGTTATAAAAAATTACTTTCAATGTAATTTTTAATAGTTTGTGATAATAAGGTAATAATTTTGTTGTTGTTAAATTTTGAATTTAAAATAGTTTTTTAACTTATTAGAATTGTTTTTATTTTTTCAGCTTCTGCTGTTGATGTTGGTTTAAAACAAGGAAAAACAGTTATTGTTGTAAAGGTAAGATTTACAAAGGCTATTCATTTATACAAACTCACTTTAATTTGGCACCAAAAAATAAAAGTTTTTTGAATTTTTTTCACTTTTTCTGACAGTTTAGTTAAACCATTTTAATTTTTAGAGTGCCATTCTAACAATTTAAATGGTTTAAATATTTACAGACATCCTATGGATCTTAGTAATATTGTATTGTATTAGATTGATAACATTAAGTTGTTAATATTATAGGATGGTCCTGGATTTTATACAACTCGAATTCTTATGCCAACTTTGATGGAAGCTCTTCAGCTTCTTTCAGAAGGGATTAACCCACGTGATCTTGATCAGCGCTCAAAGAATTTTGGTTTTCCTGTGGGATGCGTAACATTAGTTGACGAGGTATGTATAAATATTAATTTTAATTTTTTATTTTAGTAGTAGTTTTCATTATATTGCTATTTAAGTTGGTTTATAAAATAAATACAATTTTGAAGATAAAATGTTTAAATTGGTTTTTGTTGTAGGTTGGAATTGATGTTGCTGCACATATTGCCAATCATTTGGGTAATATCTTTAAAGGAAGGTATAGTGTTAAACAAACTAAGTCTTAATTAAAAGTTTTTTATAAATTAAAACCAGTTATATTTTTCAAAAGTTTAAAAAAACTATTATATATTTCAAATTTCAATTTACTTTAATTAACTTTAATTTTTCTGTTAAATTTCTATTTTGTTAAAAGAAGCGTAGTGAATGAAATATAAATAAATAGATAACTAAGAATTTTTTTCCTCCTATTGACTAATTTTTTTAGCTAAAATATTTTAATGTTAGCTGTAAAGAATTACAAGTTAAGATAATAAAAAAGATTTTTTTTTTTACATTTTTCTTTATTTTGTTTATAAATTTTATTTTTTCTATTAGAATGGTTGGTGGAAATATTCAAATGCTTAATGATATGGTAGACAGAGGATTTTTAGGTACTTGTATTAAATATGATTCTTAATATATCATGGTTTCCTAAATGATAAATGACATCTTTTTTTACTAAATTTAAATTCAAAAAGATCTTATGCTGGCAAGAGCTAATTTTTTTAAAAAACATTTTTGATTTTTTGAAGAGATTCTTTTTATTAAGATTTTTTCATCTAAGTTTATTTTTCTTGATAAAAATATTGATCTGCCTAAAAAAATTTACTTAATAAAATTCTTGATCTATTTAGGAAGAAAATCAAAAAAAGGTTTTTACAAGTATGCAAACAAAAAAGAGGTATCTTGGTTTTGATTGGTTATAATAGTTCATTAAAGTGCTTGATTTTACAAGAGTAAATGTACATCAGAGCAGTGAAAAGGCTCTATTAATGTGTTTATGTAATGTAACGTAACAATGTGTTTGCCAGGATGGGGAACAAGTTGGTTTTATATGTATTCATAAAAATAAAAATAACTTGCCAGGATGGGGCAAGTTGTCTTTTCCAATGGATTTTACACTGTATTGGCATTTGGATGGAGTGTTAAATTTTTTTGATGCCCATATATATATATGTGTATATATATATATATATATATATATATATATATATATATATATATATATATATATATATATATATATGTCAATCTTGGTCCGGAAGGCGTGTGATTTTATGTTTTTATATAACCACAAAAATAATACTTTATTTTGATGATTTACCACGGCTTTTTACATATCAAAAATGCTTAAAACTGAATTAAAATGATTTTTTTTATTTATGCGTTAAAGTAAATAACATTGAAACTTTTATTTTTGCAAATGTTTTTATATAAGCAAACCTTTTTAAAATAAAGTACAGTATACTGATAATGATTTTTGTTTCAAGTTTCGATCTAAATTGTATATAATATTATTTATATTGTATAATTGTAATGTTGTATAAATTATATAAGTGTGCATTTTTTATAATAAACGATATTTAAAAAATATTAACTTATTTTGATTTTGTTAATGACTTTTTTTTGACAATAATGGTTTTATTAATAAACATTATATAAGAATCTTTAAGTTAATGCACTTAAAAAGATAAAAAAAATTGTTGAAAAAATATGAATTAATGAATATTAATTTTACATCTTAAAAAAAATTTATATTAATTTCATTTTTAAAGTAGTTGACTTTAAACAAACAATTATCTATTTTAAATTTTTTTTTAAGAATGATTAAAGTTAAATACTCAAACAGATAATAAAAAGTTTGTTGCAAGAACATGAGTGACAAGAAATATTAGTATAAAATGTTTAGTAGTCCGATTCCGAAATTGAAGTAAAACTGTCATTGCTGCTGCTTTTGTTGCTACTGCCATTTGTTTCAATTCTACCACCAGCTCACAGTGGCTGGTGGTAGAATTGAAACAAACTCATTTTTTTTCAGCCAATCATTATCGCAATAATTTAGACCTTCCTATATTTATGAACAGTAATGTACCCGTCATCTTCTAGGATTAACTCTTACTTCTGATCTTTCTTGGAAACCATATATTAAATCCGTTGCAAAATTAGCATCTGCTAAAGTTGCATCTCTTTATCAAGCTCAACACTTTCTTACTCTAGATTCTATTCTCTATCTCTATAAATCTCAAATCTGGCCTTGTATGGAATACTGTTGCCATATCAAGGGCGGATCTTCTAATTATGCCCTTTCTCTTTTAGACAAGGTGCAAAAACGCATTGTAAACATAGTTGGACCTGCTCTTGCAGCCAACCTTCAACCATTATCACATCGTCGTAATGTTGTTTCTCTTTCTCTTTTCTACAAATACTATTATGGGCACTGCTCTAAAGACCTAGCGTCTCTTGTGTTATCTACTAAAATTCATTCTCGTGTTACTCGTCATTCAATTAAGTCATCCTTTTTCTGTTGCTGTTCCTGAGTGCTCCAAAAACTCTTATTCATCTAGTTTTTTCCCTCGAACATCAGTTCTTTGGAATTCGCTTCCTTCATCTTGCTTTCCTGCTTCATATAATTTGCAATCTTTTAAGTTGTCTGTCAATTGTTATCTTGCTCTACAATCTTCATCTTTTCTCTTCCATTAATTTTTAGTATTTCCATAGTTTTCCAATAATTTATAGTAATTCCAGTTTTTTAATAAACACTAATTAGTAGTTGCTTGCAGCCTTGTTTGAAAAAAAAAATAAAGCTCCTTCCATTAAATCAAGGCAAACAAATTTCCTTTTACTTAGATAGATATTGCCAGTACTACTCAAAATTTTGCCTCGTTCATGAGAGGTAAAATTCAGGTCATTCCTAGCTATGATTATAGAGTCTTCCATTGTCTTATGGTTCATCTTTAAATGGTGATCAGTTAGTATTACAGTCAAGGTACTGAAAACACGTTCTACGGATGAGTTGGAACAAGACATGCACATTACAAATTCAACTAGAAAAAGCAGGTTTGGGAACTCTATATACATCAGCTATGCATGAGATAAATTCATGTGCTGAAAATAAATAATAAAATAATTCAGACAAAAAAAAATTTTATAAATGAAAATTTATTTAAATTTTTGTCAATTCTATTAGTGATTATCAAATTGATCCCAGAAAATCAATAACCTGCTTTATTTTTGCTTTTTCCTTCTAAAAGACATACACCATTAAGTCTTTAGCATTTCATAAGGGTCTCAAAACTGCTATGAAGCATATTTGGTTTCAGAGTCATTTCATGCGCTGTTCTAATCATCTTTAAATATGCATCACAGGTGTTTTGTATTGTAGTTAAAGAGTTTTCTATATCAGGGATGACAAGACATCTATTTCCAGTTTCTACTGTAGGGTTTACATTATCTATTAATACCGCTAATTTATGAATACGTCCTTTAAAATGGTGGTAGATCTTTATTAAAATTTGATAAGTTAAGAGTGCTTAAGAATCTGTTAGAGTTAAAAAAGAATTGCACTTAAAGTGAAACTATATAGTTATCTCGGAATAAACATTCAATATAACCATTATAAGTGAACTTTAGTGTAAAGTATTTCCAGATTAATCAAATTCAAAAGAAGCTAATAATTTTATTTTTAACTGATGTTTTTTACCACAATAGTTCCCTCTGTAAATGCTTTCAAAGAATCAATGGCTAACCCAGCGCCCAGACTCCTGGATTAGCGGTTTTGTTGCTGGATCAGTATTTTTACCACATAATTTTTTCAAACTTTACAAAGGGGTTATTTCAGACAAAAGAAAAAAGCAATTTAATGTTTCCATTGAAATGGAACTGATTTAATTCTTTTTCTTTTATTATGTAACATTTTCTATGAATAAATGATTGTTTAAATGTTTAAAAAATGTATGTTTAATTAAAGCATGAAATGGTTTTAAAAAGATTTTATCTTTTTTTTGATGCGTAAGTATTTATTATCTTGTCTTTATCAACTATAATTTAAATTAAATGTGCGTATTTTTTTAACAATCATTCAAACAATCAAAGTTGTTGCTTTATTTATAAGGGTTTCCATAATATCATAAAAACACTTGCAAATATAAAAAGTTCGAAGTTTTTTATTCCAAACTTAACTAAAAACTTGATTTAAATAATCTTAGTGTTTTTGTTTTTCAGGTTTTATTTTTATTGTTTATATGATTATTTTTTAGGTTTTAGTTAATTTATTTTTATTTTCTCTTACGTTTAGGCTAGATAAGCATATATATGTGTGTGTGTGTGTGTGTGTGTGTATATATATATATATATATATATATATATATATATATATATATATATATATATATATATATATATATATATATATATATATATATATATATATATATATATATCAGGGCCTATTCTAGTAAAAAAATTTGGGCAGCAGTACCCCCTCGCTCCGGCAAACTTTAGCAGAAAATCAGCATTTATTCTGCATAAAAAATATTTGCCGTAAAAACGTTAAAAAAAGGTCCTCAAATTTTAATTTGTACGGCACCCAAATATGGTCGACGCTATCGAAAACGGTCTAGAATAGGCCCTGTATATTCAGGTCTGTAGTGTCCAGAAGCTTTAGACATGTTTGTTGGCTTATGATCTGCCATAAGAAAAAAAATGAGATTTAATCAATTGGAACTTATTGTTTTTAAGGCCGGAGTCCTTGCCACCATTATACCATAGACTCCGGGTTCAAAAGATGATTGTTCCTCTTACCTAAAAGTATTAAAAGTATTAGTTATTTTTCAATTTTAAGTCCATAAACTTTTTTATATTTTTTGAACTTCTGGATACCAAAAAGTCATCTTTTTGTGACTTTAAGTCCGGAGTCCGTTTTGGGACTCCGCAAACTGGTCTGGTTTGAAAAATGATTGAAAAAATTTCTTTTTTCAATTTTAATATGTTGCAACATTCACTTTCACATTTTTAGGTAAATGAAGGTGCACTTGAAATCATTAAAAAGTATCAAAAAACACCAGTAACTGGGTGAGTGTTATAAAAAAACAACTTAAATTACAACTGTTTATTTTTTTAAAATTTTTAAATTTAAATATCATTTCTTTTAGTCTAACAGATGACGAGACAGCTCTTCGCTTAGTTAGTCGGATGACAAATGAAGCTGTTTTGTGTTTAGAAGAAGGAATTCTCAACAGTCCAGTGAGATTTTGTGATAAATCCTAATTTATTTTGTAATATCAGTTTCTTTTTTTAAATTTGTTTGTTTATTTTTAAAGGTTGATGGTGATATTGGTGCTGTGTTTGGTTTAGGCTTTCCACCACCACACGGAGGTTTTTTCATAGCTATAATACTTATTGAAAAAAAAAATTGAAATATTTTAGATTTAATGTTTATCTAATATGTTTTGAAATGTTTTAGGACCCTTTCGGTTCGTAGATACATATGGAGCAGGCAATCTAGTAAAGTTGATGGAAAAATATCAAAAGCTTATTGGAGAGTCCCAATTTAAGCCGGCTCAACTTCTCCTAGATCATGCAAAAAATTCTTCGAAAAAGTTTTATGTGAAATAAAATAATTTATTTTGAATAAATCAGTGTAAAAATATATTTGTTATTATTATTATTTTTTTAATTTTGTATTGTTATTTTCTCATTTATTTAATTTTATTTGTATAGTATTTGTCAGTTATTTTTAAATACATTGCTACAGAACTCTTGGTTTTTTTTTATTGCGTTTTGTGATTTTAAGTTTAAATTTTTTTCAAGTACAATCGTTTCTTAATTTTATTAGAATTATAAGAAAAAGTTCCAACACTTTTAATGTTTAAGTTTCTAAAAAAAATCTGTGAAGATAAGTATTAGAAAATAATATTTTGAGTTGCTTTAACATAATAGATAAATGTTGCAGATCAGTCATGATCAGTTTTGCTTAATTATTTTAGAATAGTACAAAAAAAGTTAATACATGAGGTTTTAGAATAGTACATGAAAAGGTTTTGTATGATAAATGTCTAAAGATAGTAAATGATAAGGTATTATATGATAAATATCTTAGTATAGTACGTGAAAAGGTGATATATGATAAAATTCTTAGGGTTGTCATGAAAAGGTGATGTAATAAAAATCTAAGGATAGTATATGAATATATGATATATATGCTTTTTTAATTAACAGTACAACAAAATTTTCTTTTATACTACTTTTGTAGAAATAGATTCATTGCATTTTGATATTAAAAAAAAAAAATTATAGCTGTTATTTAAATTATTAAATATATCTATAAAAAGAGGAGTGACAATGATATTCATATGTAAGGAATGAACATAAAAAGAGAAGGGATAATAATATTCATATGTGTGGAATGAACATAAAAAGAGAAGGGATAATAATATTCATATGTGTGGAATGAACATAAAAAGAGAAAGAATAATAATATTCATATGTGTGGAATGAACATAAAAAGAGAAGGAATAATAATATTCATGTGTGGAATGCACATAAAAAGAGAAGTGACAATGATATTTATATGTAAGGAATGAACATAAAAAGAGTAGGGATAATAATATTCATATGTGTGGAATGAACATAAAAAGAGAAGGGATAATAATGTTCATACGTATGGAATGAATGATATACACAAGTATTGAGAGTAATAATGATATTCATTAAAGAGGATTGTGGTCATAATATTTTATGGAGAAGCATGAAAGTGATATTTAGGAGAGACACTGGTTAAAATGCAACTGGTTTAATGCAGATATTATTAAATCTTATTGTAAAAACTAATTTTGATTTTTTAAAACTAATTTTAATTATCTCTTTTTGTAATACTTTTGTTTATTGTTATGGATAATACCATGAATGTTTTTTGTTTTAATAAGTGTTTTTCATTAATATAATGAAGATTTTTTATAACCGGCCAACTATTTTTAACCTGTGTTAATGATTTGACTTTAGAGTTTTGGTATTTTTTGAAAGTTTTTGTATCATTCCATTTTATATAAATGAAATCATTTTTTATATAAAAAATGTTAGTAAAATTTTAAAATTGTTTTACTTGTATAGTCTATTTTTAAAGTATGAAAGCTGCAACCATAAAACATACTTCATGTGAGAAAGATTTTGTTTTAAAGTCTATTAAAAGCGGAATAGTAAGTTGTTGTTTTTTTAACAAAAATATAACATTTTGACTATTTGTAATTACACTACCAGGTTGTTAAATTGAAGTAGTAGAGTGTTGTTGGTTGAAACAAAATGATTCAATAAATTTAAATGTTTGTTGATCTCATTGTCAGTTAAAAATATGGCTTTGCTGAATCATGCGAGATTCAGTTAATATATTTTTACTTAATCTTGGATGACCATAGTATTAGTAAAGAGAGAAAGAGATGTAATCTTATGAAATGAATAGTGGCTCAAACTTGGCAGCTAAAGCAGATCCAACAACATTTCCAATGCATTTTGGACCTTGTCTGAGAGAGAAAAACCTCATTAGAAGAGCCAGTCCAACTGACAATAATGTTCCATTTTAGAATGAATAAGAGGTTTATAGATGTAAAAAATGAATCTGGAGTAAGAAAGTGGCAAGCGTAATAAAGAGAGACCTTCATATTCTAATTTTCCTTTTATTCTTTTTATTTATTAATTTATTCTTTTACCTTCATATTCTAATTTTCCAATCAATTGTAGATGGTTTCCAATGAATTATAGGTGAATCATAAGTTTTTCCAATGAATTATAGATGGTTTCTATAAGAGGTCAATAGTGAAGGGTAGTCCAAGAAGACATAAAGTAGAGGACTCAATATGAGTGTTTCCATTCATTGATTTAGGAATATCAACAACACTGCAATAGTAGTTTTAATTGGATTAAAATTCACCAGCGACTGCAGGCCCCAAACTGTCATAAAAGAGAGATCATATAAAAACGTCTGTTCTAAGCTGTCTGTTCTAAGCAATCAAAAAGATATTTTTCCAAGATTAGAATATATAGGTAAGATCATCAGAAGAACCATTAATACAGATGAAGAAGATCATCAGGAGAACCATTAATACAGAGGAAGAACACTAGGCCAAGTATTAGACTTGGGGATTGTTAGTGGTTGCTAGAAATGAAGTATAGTGTTGTTGGTTGAAACAAAAGGATTCAATAATTTAAAAAAAAAATTATTTATTCCTAGATATACCATATAAAACAAACTTATGGAACAGTATGCCAAACTTTATCAAAGATCTTTTATACGTCAAGATATGATAAAATTGTTCTGTTGTAACTGATAACAAGTCAGCAGCAGAAAAAAAGAATCAAAATCTTTTGATTTTGTCGAGAGTAAATTTTCGACTTGAAATTGAGATAATTATTTCATCTTAAGATAATTGATTCAAAGAATTTGCAAATAATAATAACAATGATAACAATAATAATAAATGATTGAGAAGTTCAAAGGTTCAGAGCATTCTCTAGAGTTTCTAAAAGGTGGATATTCTACTTTCAAGCAGACAAGAAATCAAGATTCAGTTTAGCACATGTTATGGACTAATAGTTTAGAGGGTAGTAAATAAAGTTCTTGAAAACACTTAAGTAACTTGGATGTCTAACAGTAGATTAATCTGTTTCTTTGCAATGACAGAAAATGTGTGGCCATTAGATTCAGGAAATAAATAAATAAAAAGTTCTGTTCGAAGAGTTTTGCTTTATCCTAAAAATATTTTTCTTCATCAATTTAAAAATTGAGGAAGAAAAATAATTTTAGTTTTAAAGCCAGCAGGGTCAGTGGTTCTAAAGTCTTTGTAATGAGCTTTAAAATCACTAAAAATAACAATATTGGCTGAGGGGTAAGGAGAATGGGTTTGGTCAATTTTATCAGAAACATGAAAGAAAAATCAGAATTCAAACCTGGTATCACAACAAATAGGTGAATTCAATGGATCAAAGGATAATCAATATTATTATCCTTCTAACACTGGAAAATGAAACCATCTAATTTGATAAAGTTTTACAAAGAGTAGGTCTGGTGATTTTGAAATAATTGAAATTATTTTTGTAGTGGTGTTGTTTATAGAAATAATTATTTATATTAATAATTATTTAATTTGATATTATTTGAAAATAGTGAGATATTATTTAATATAGTTGGAAAAAGAGCATAAGTATCTTATGCTGATTTATTTGTGGAGAGGGTTAATGAAAAAATCAGGGACCAATTTTCATAGCGCATCTCATTTTATGAACAATTTATTGACAGACTGGTCTTTCTTTTCCATGGATCTGCAGATGAATTAACATCATATACAAGCTTTTAAATTTATAAATGCTATCCGATTTATTTATGAATGCTATCCAATTCTATCTATTTTATGAATGCTATCCTATTCTATCTATTTATGAATGCTATCCGATCTTATTTTTATGTTTTAAATAATGAGATAAATAATATAAATTGTTAAATGTGAACAATCTCTGATTCTAATAGATAAAATTATTCTAATTAAACAATCTCTGGTTCTAATAATGTTAATTAGATTATTATTTTATAGCGATTGGATGGCAGACAAGCCTTTGATTATCGAAACATAAGTATACAGTTTGGTATTGATTATGGTTGTTGTGAAGTCCAGTTAGGTGAAACAAGGTATGTTAGGTTGATTGTGTAGGGCAAAATAATTTAGAGTGAAGAATAATTTTAAATAAAAATTAATTTTTAGGAATGTAGATTTGATTTTTTTTTTAAATCAATATTACAGGAATTCTTTTTAGATTCTTTTAAAATTTAATTGCATAAGTTTATCATATCCAGAAAATTTTGTTAGGGTTAACTTAGTACATGTCTAGGTTTGTAGTTTGGTAAAAAAACGATAAGTTAGTTTTTTGAGTGATAATGAGTTATAAATATTGTTGTGAGCAAATCATTTATTCTGCTAGGCCTAAAATTATAAAATGATTAAGAGTTCTTGCTAAAACAGAAAAAAAAAAATTGCTTAGCATTCCTGATTTCTGACTTAGGCCAAATGTTATACCTCTTGACAAATGTTAAAATAATAGCTGTAACCTTGAAAGTGTTAGCATGTTAAAGTTTTCTTTTTCTGCAAAAGTGTTATGTTGGCGATCACACCTGCCACATTAAAAGTACTATGATGAGTCATCAAGTAGAAATATTTTAACTTAAATTAAATCATTTTAACATAGCAATTTACTCAGCTTATTTATTTACTTAATTATTCAAATGGATTTTAAATATTTAAGTAAATTATTTTTAATAGTTTCTTATAATCTTAAATTTGAATAAAAAGTTTGCTATAGAAAAAAGATTTTCTGTAACCCCTGGTGACAAAAATTTGGCACAATCTTTGAGAAGCTAAAACTTATTGAATTTTTAGTTATCCAGTCTTACTTTTCTAGTTGTTTTGTTTACTTAGATTATTTAATAAAAAGTTATCCAAAAATGAAGCCAACTACATTAATTGAATAAGTGTACAACTATTGTAATTTGCATTCTAACGCTAAAAAAAAGAGCATCGTAGAGTATTTTGTTGCCTCTAATCACCCCGAAATACCATTAAACGTTATATGGCAAAGTGGAAGGCTTACAAGACTTTCGCTCATATGACAATGAGCGAAAGTCTTGTAAGCCTGGATCAAACAAAAAACTAAAAATTATGACTACTAGGAACATCAATCGCCTGAATGGTATTTTGAACAACCAGTCTGGAACTTCAACAATTTAATTGCAAAAAAATTCAAGTGCGATCATTCCTACATTATAAAAACATTAAAAACAAAACAAACATTTGTTATTTAAAAAAAAGACAAATCCCTGATTGCACTGATAAACAGTTAAAGCAGTTGCAACTGAAGTGTGGAAGTCTGAAGTGTCACGGTTTCTGAATTTGTCACAAATTCAGAAACCTTAACTTTGTCATTGGCGATGAGTCTTATTTTACATTTAAACATACAAATAAAAATTCTAATTCTGGATTTTTCTCAGATGTAGCAAAAAATGCACCATAAAATTTAAACTTTAAGCGCAAGAGCAAGTTTGATAAAAAATATTCTTGTGTGGATTACCATATCTCCTTGTGGAATCTCAAAACCATTTATTGTTTCTGCAAGACTGGCAATTAACCAAAAAGTGTACAAAAATGATTGCATCATCAAAAGATTGGTTCCTATTATCAACAAACATCACAGTGATGGTAATTATGTGTTCTGGCCTGACTTGGCTTCTTCACATTATGCTAGAAGTGTGACCAATTACCTCAATGAGAAAAATATCTGTTATGTAAAAAAAGTTGATAATCTGGCATGTGTCCCAGAATTATGACCAATAGAAAATTTCTGGTCAATCCTTAAATGCTACATGTATGAAAACAATTGGGAAGCTGAAAACGAAGATCAACTACAAAAAAGAATCCATTCTTGTTAAAGAAAAGTTGATAAAAATCGTGTTCAAGGCATGTTCAAACATGTTTAAAAAAAAGTTGACATAGTACGTAGTAATGGCAAGAAAGCATTATTTCAGTCTCGAACGTAAAAAACTAATATATTTCTTAATATTTTGTACTAATTTATTGTTCATTAAACTTTTTGTTGTACTATTACTGCTTGTGTTTATTTTGTGCCAAATTTTTGTCACCAGGGGTTATATTAGATTCAACAAAATGTTATCAAAGTGTAGCAACTAGAAATATTTACTTTGAAAATTTTGCTTCAATATAAGAATATCAAGTAGCATCTAATATTGATTTACTTATTAAATGTCTATTAAGCTCATTTGTTTAATAAGCTTGATAATCCATATTTTTAAACTGTTAAACAGTTTTCTAAAAAATTTTATCATCTTAAAAACTTTCCATCATCAGATTTGATGATGTTAGAATTAGTTGAAATTTATCGATTTTATTTGCAAAAAATATTCATCAGTTTAGTTTGCGAAAAATTACTTACTTACAACTCTCACTATTGAATTGTAGCTTCTCTTTGGATTTTCCAAATGTTTGTGCGCAGTTTCTTTTCTGATGTTTTTTTTTTTGGTCATTTTTAAAACTTAAATGGCTAAGCTAAAACATTTTTTTGAAACAATAATGTTGTAAAAAAAAAATAAAAATACAATTAAAAATATGTTAATAAAACCACTGAAAAAAAAAAAGAAGTATTTATTCTTTTACATTCATTTTGTGTACACGCTTTATGATTATAAATACATTGTATTGTATCTTTTTTTGTATCTTTAAAGTTGGGCTTGGCTATCAAATTAAATCTTCTTTTTAAAAATAAATTTAGTTATGGGAGGTATGCAGACATTCATTATAATTCAGAATGAATATTTTACAGCAGTAGAGGATTTATTTATATTTTTTTATATAGAGTACTTGCTCAAACATCATGTGAATTAGTTAAACCTATTGGCACAAGACCTACAGAAGGTCAACTTCATTTAAATGTTGATTTATCACCAATGGCATCACCAAGTTTTGAAACTGGAAGGTAGTTGATAGGTTTTTGTTATTATTATTTAATATTGTTGTATCTTTTATTATTATTACAATGATGGTTGAAAATAGTACCAATATTTCAATTCTTGCTATATATATGTTTTGTTAAAACTATATTATGTAACTTTAACCTTATTAAAGGAAATGACAGAGATGGTTGCACGGTAACTGTGTTAATTATTTTATTTAACTCTATATCAAGTGAACAAGTTAGACCTATTTGCAAAAGACCTACCGAAGATCAGCATCATTTAAATGTTGATTTATCACTAAATCATAACTCAGTAGTCAGTTACAAACACAATAAAGAGTTTTATTTATTACCTTAGGAAGAAGGGGGGGGGGGAGCTTGTGTGTTAAAATTCTATAATTTTATTTTAACCAGTTATTTTTAATAAATTTTAGAAATGTTCAAAAAACAATTTTGTTTTTACTATTTTTTTTTTTTTTTTTGTGGTTGGTTTTCTACTTCTATTTTTAACATTTAAAAAATATTTTAAAACTTAAAAAGTAAAATTCTTTGCAGTAGTTTCTTTGCATGTAAAGTTATGCAGTTTTATGTTTAAATTTATGCAATTTAAATTTTCATTGGACAAAATTTAATTTTGAAAAAATGATTGTTTTTGATTAATTTCTTCTAATTTTATAAACTAACATTAGATATCAATTAAAATGAAAATTATTGCAACAAGTAAAAGGAAATAACTAGTCTTGAATCAAAATAAACAATTTTCTCCCAGTCAAAAGTCTCCCAGTAGTTGATGAATTTATTATACAAAGTTGCTTTTACTCAAAGTTGTTCTTGTCTTTAATGAAGTCACCAATGAATTTTCTTTTAGAAAATTTCATTAAAGAAGATTACTGCTCAGTAGTCAGTAGACTATTAGTTCAGTAGTCAGTAGACTATTAGTTTGTAAATATGCATCAAAGAACTTGAATGATTATATCATCCTTGAAAATATAGTCTGGCAAAATTTAGCTATATTCATCAACAGAAAAAAGGAAAATATTATGGGTTTGGAGAAAAAAACAATGATGGAATAACTGATGAGTATTACGTTAATAATGAAGCTTTTTTAGAGTTGATAAAGTAATTACAAATAACATTGAGCTTGAGCATAAATGTAGCACATTTCAATCAGCTTCAGAAAAAAAGAGTAGTAAGCTTTACATCAGCTGCCTAGGAGAAATTTTATTTTGTTTAAAATTACATCAGCTGCCTAGGAGAAATTCTATTTTGTTTAAAATTACGAGGTGGCCCATATACTTTTTAATCAGATTTCAATGGATATAATGAAAAGGAGAAAGATTTGTTAAATACCAAAAACATATGAGGAGTGAGATTATTTATTTTAGGGATATAAAAGTGGTTTTAATTCTTGAATTAAAATCTTTCTTTTAAAGTGATTTTTTTTTAAAATAGTTGCTTGCTTAGTAATAAATATGAAAATATATTTGTACAGGATGTATTTTGTATCAGCTAATGTGGAGAAATAACTTTTAAATTAATTAGAAGTCAAGTCCTCAAACATATCTCAGCCTAAATTAATTTTTTTAAACTTTGCTAGCAGCGTCTTTTTAATTTATATTTATAAAAGCTTTTTAAAACTTTTTTTTAAGATTGTATTCATTTATGAACAACCAAGCAAAGTTGTTTATAAATATAATAAACTTAGTTTTATAGGTGCACTTTAATTTTGGTTTATCTTTTGTTATAAAATTTAAGAACTTGAAAAAAATACATGTATTGTGTAAACAGATAATCACATTAGAATATGGAAAGGAAAAAGAAATAGGAAAAAAATCATTTTTAAATTAAGAAAAAGAAATTAAGAATTTTAAACATAGTTTTTATGAATTTAGCAATTATTAAATCTTATTTTGTTGACCAATGTTATAAAGTGATTTATTCTAGGAAATAAACACCCTATCTTGGTGCTTTACACTTACATTAACTTTTAGTTTTTAATGAGGGTTTTCTTTTAAAATTATCTTTAAAATGAAAAATACTAGTAAGATGAAAATTAAAAAAAAAAATGCAATTAAAAACCTATATTAAAATAAAATGCAATTTTTTCATTCTTTAATTTCAGCTGCTTAATGTTTTAATTTGATTTATTTCATATTGACAGTTATTTTTCAAATATTTATGCATTTTGAAATAATTTTCACCTATTTTATTTACTTAGCGTTTCTTGCTCTGAAAAATATAAAACTTTGGCATAAATGTCTGTAAGTGAAATGACAAAATATTTTTCTGATTGGATTTTTATTTATCCTGTTCAACTTTAACAAGCATTTTAAATAAAGGCAAAATTATTTTTTTGTTAAATTTTCTTTTGTGTTGTTCAGAGAATCAAATGCTATTTGAAAAGTGCGCTGGCAAAAAGAGAGATTTGATTTTACCATAGTGCATAGATTGAGGCTCATTCAGATTTAAAATATGTATATAAAAAAGCATAAAAATAAGTATGATCATTTGACTCCAATTGCTGTGTTTTTAGTATGTTAACCAATTATTTTGTTTTTGATTTATTTGTAGGTGTGCAATTGACTTATAACCTAAAATGTCTGTAAAAAAAACAACCCTTTAAATCCTTTTCATAAGATCTAATACTGCATACATTAATTAATTGGTTGGACATAAATATTTGTATTTGGTATCCAGATGGTTTTTTTTTTTTCTAAGTATTCATTTCCCCACCACTTAGGATGATCTATTCACCTCCCCAAGACAGAATGATGTATTCACCTGCTCAAGACTCAGGATGGTGTATTCGCTTCCCTAAGAATCAGGATGATGTATTTACTTCCTTAAAACTTAGGGCAATGTATTCACATCCTCAAGACTCATGATGATATATTCACCTCACTACCACTCAATATGATGTATTTACCTCTTCAAGATACAGTAGAGCTACTCAAGTAAAGAAGACTGCTCTTTCTTTTTTTTGTTTGCTCAGAGTAAATCTCTAAAATCCGGAGTAAAACTCTAGATTTCAAAGTTCTAAAGTTTTGTATTATAAAAGGACTTCACTATTTCTAAATTCTAATGATCTTTAGGAGTTCACATGTTTTTTCTTTGTATAAAAAATGTTGAAGTCAAAAATCCTGAATTTTTCAAGTTATTTATCCAGCAACTCCACGTTGAAAAATGTTTTCAAAACTTTTTTGTGTTTTTTTTTATCTGAGAGGTTCAGGAATACCTAAGTATTTATTTCTAAATTATGTATCAGTCACTTATGCACTTATATTATTGACTTTTAGTACTTATTAATTGATCATTTCTTATTTACTCAACAGTTTTATTTTTTAGTCAAAGTATGTATTTTTAAAGCTATTTACTTTAAAAACCTGTTTAGTTAATTATTATCCTGTTTCTCTACAACTAAGTTTGTTGAATATATTTTTTCAGAATGACAAGCCAGGGATTAGAAATTAATCGTTTAATAGAAAGGTGCATCAAAGAATCAAGATGTATCGATGTTGAATCTTTATGCTTGATAGCAGGAGAAAAGGTAATATTCATATAACATAAAAGCACATGAGTATATATGAATCGCTAACTTGAAAAAGGAGACATGTCCCGCAAAAATTCACATAACATGTCCCCTTTTTCAGGTTAGCAATTCATATATCTATGGCTATAAAGATATCATGTGTATTATATAAAGTCTTATTAGCCACAATAACATTTAGTTTTAATTTGTTTTTGTTTTTTAATTAAAAAATCTGTTTTTGAGGATTCCTAGGTGTGAAGTTTAGAAGAGTTTAAGACTTAGTTTAAATAATAATAATTTAGTAAATAATTAAAATTCATTTATGAAAAGCATATGTGAATACATTTCATAATGATTTATTTTATTATATATATATATATATTATATATATATATATATATATATATATATATATATATATATATATATATATTATTATTTTTTTGTAATAAGCAATTTTGTTCTTCAAAATTTTTATATTAATAGCTTTTAGCAGCAAAAGTTATTCAGAAAGTTGTTATTGATATATATTATTTAAAAACATGAAGGTTTAAATTATTTATACTAATTTTTGTTATATTAACTTGATATATATTTTCAAAAACATAAAGATTTAAATTATTTTTTTGTTATATATATTATATATATATATATATATATATATATATATATATATATATATATATATATATATATATATATATACTTTTACATGTTTTATATTTAATATGTAATATGTTATGAAAATTTAAAGTGAAATATATTACTTTAGAAAAGAACTTAAAAATGTTGCGGATACCATATTGGTAATCTTTTCAGTGTCCTTGTGATCTAATTTAATTTATCCTGAAAAATCTTGTAAAACTCAGATTTGTTGCGGAGTTTGCTTCTATTGTTGATAAGTTTTTGTGGTTCTCCTTTAAGAACAGCTTTATATTTTAAAATTGCTTCAGTATCTTATGATTTTTTTATGATTTTTTGTTTGAAAATATTTAAAGAAATTAAAATATTAACTAGTGAATGTTTTAGAGGTGAAAAGAGGTGTCAACCCGATTTTTTATGCATTTTAGTCTCTCTAAGATTATAATATGAATTATTTTGACAAGTAAGATTGGTTTTTGACTCAAAAAATTTACAAAAAAAATTTAGGAGGAATTTTACAGAAAAACAAATTATACCATTTATTACGGCCACAAATATTGCGTGTAATTTATTTACAAGATTAACCCTTCAGAATGATTAATATGGTTCATCTCCTTATTTAAATTATTATTTTTTCTTTGAAATATATTGTTTTTATAGATGGCAAAAAATTTTATGATGTATGTTACAAATAGTTTTTAAAGATTTATATCTTTACCTACTAACAGTTTATGTAATAGTATGCTGGCAACTGTTTTTATAGATTCATGCTGGTAACTGTTTTTATAGATGACAAATGGTATCAATATCTATAAATAGTAAGCTGCTAATGGTTTTTATAGGTGGTAAACTGCAAGTGTTATAGATTAAATCAAAAAAATTGTCAATCAATTGTAAAACTGTGATTGTATTATAAATATATAGTGAAGTTACCTATGAATGTGCTTGTTGTTATTTTAAACTGTTTGTTCTTATAGTAGATTTTTTACAATATGCATGTATATGTATTTTTTACAAGAATATGCTAAGTATAATAAAGTATTTACAATTTCAGTGTGTAGAAAATTGAATTTGTTGTTGCTTTCAATATCTTCAAAATTACTATTTTACCAACAGTTGTTAACAATTTTTTTGACCATAGGTTTGGTCTATTCGTGTGGATATTGTCGTATTGAATGATTGTGGTAACATATTAGATTGCTCTTGTATTGCTGGTATTGCATCGCTTGCTCATTTTAAGTAAGATTTTTTTTGTTACAGGATCTCTACTTTCCTTAATAGAAGATGTGTAATAAATAAAAAAGCTCTGCACTGTAAATGATATTATAAATAGTAAAATTAAGCAGACAAACAAAAGCAAACAGTAAATAATATAAAGCTGTTAAAGCGAGTTGCGTTAAAGAATAAATCCTAACAGTTGTTGTTGTAGATTTCATTTTATTTAGCCTAAAATTTTTAAATTTTATTATATAAGAATATAATAAAATTTACAACTTTTAAATTTATTAAAATAAAATCTATAATAATAACTGTTATGTTTTATTCTTTATTATTAGAAAAAGATAAAAAATTTTAGTATATAAAAAATTTATTTTACTAAAATCATTATAGTTTATATTTATATAGCCATGTACAATTTTTTATTGTTGTTGTTGTACTCATTTTTTAGTTTAGCACTATGGCTTTATGAATGTTCATATGAAAATTCTTTTGTGTTTTTTTATTTGACTGTGCACAAACAAGAGTTGGCCAACATTTTTATATGTGATCAACTATTTTTCTTAAAAATATGTCATCACCTACCTACTAGAATCTTAAAATTTTCAAACATATTAATAAAACTAATGATTAAAACTATGAAATGATATATAACATAAATTAATTAAATATATAACATAATAAAACTAGTGTGCTAATGATTGATAAGAGTGATAAGTTATTTTTCTTCTGTAGAAGGGGATTAATATTTTATAATTAATATTAATTAATTAAAAGTTATCTTATAAAAATCAGTTGTAAGCAGTACACAACCGTGTAATGAAATTTTAATATTAACAAGAAGTCTGTGTCTGCATGTCTCCAGCCAAGTATTTATGATTTGGTGCCTATTCATAAAAAGATATGCTAATGTGTTTTCAGAAAAGTAATGCTAACGTGTATCCAGAAAAAAAATGCTGTGTTTTCAGTATGGGAATCAGTAAGTAGGGAACAATCTATAGTCTTGAACCATAGATGTGAAAAAGTCAATTCACATAATTATGCATATCCAAAGTTTGAATTTAACAGGTTTAGAAATAAAATGTAAATTGTAATGTGTTTTCTGAAATCTAAGTTGATACCTAAGTGTTAAAGTAAAAGTAATACATTTTATTCAATATTTTTTATTTAGGCATCATGATGTTACAGTAACAGGCACTGAAGTTATTATTGTAAGTTTTTTATTTGCTTTTTATTTTAAATGAAATAAAATTATATTGTGAATTTATTATTCTAATTTATTTTATTATTATTTATGTTGGGTTTTTCTTGGTTTAAAAAGAAAATGTATGTATATGTGTGTATTTATATATATATATATATATATATATATATATATATATATATATATATATATATATATATATATATATATATATATATATATATATATATATATATATATATATATATATATATATATATATATATAAACAACATTACAAATGTTTTGTACATATAAGTAATATGTACAACAATTATTAATAATATTAAAAACATTGACTAATATTTTGAAGTAATATCTAGAACAGCGTACTCATGACACTATGTCAACGAAGTAGCTCTTTATACTTCCCAACTTCTTGTGATTTTTTAAAAACTATTTTTTGGGAGGAAAAAAAAAATGCAACCAAATAAAAATGCAAGTGCTTATAAGTAATTATTGACATAGTTTTGAAGAAAAGTAAACATTCTATTTTAGAAATTAGTTGTAAAAACTTAAAATTGTTCATTCATTATGTTAGTGCAAAACAGAAATACCCGTTTTTCATTAAAGCAAGTGACCTAATGCTAATATTTTATATCAGTGCTTTGTTAATTGAAGGGAGACCTTTTTATAAAAAATCAATTAAATAACTTACCATTTTCTCCCTTCTAAACTCCTGAATGAGTGTGATTTTATACTCTTATTATAAGCTGAATGAGTATTGCTTGTCGCTCCGAATATTATATTAGAGTTCCTAATATTATCAAAAAAAAATTACAAAATTTCCTGCACTCTAAAATATAAAATCAATTAAAAAATTTTTTATACTATTGTAAAAAAAACCAATTAGAAAAGCTATTAAAGTTTTTTAAACAGATTTCCAGTAAAACAATAGTAAAAACAAATAACATAAAGAAAAGAAAGGAATAACATTAATGATGATTTAGACCTTCAGTGTCACTCTGACATGAATTGAAAAGTGTTCATTACCAAATTAAGAAATTGTTTCATTGGAATGAAGGTGTTTAAGTTTGTGGGAGTTTTTAACCCACCTATGGTTTTCAAATATTCTAGTTTTAAAATGACAAGATGTTTCGCCAATGTAACAGGAGTTATATCCTGCACAAATAAATTTGTAAACTACGAAATAATTAAATTCAATAGAAAGAGGATTTTTATTTCAAAAAAATTTGAGATGTTTTAAGTGATGTGAAAACAAGTTTTACAGAAACTGGTTGACAGTATCTTTTAATAATGGAGTCTTTAAAAATTTAAAGACTCCATTATTAAAAGACGTAATATTTAAAAAAAAGATGTGATCCTATAAAATGCGTATATTTTATCAAGAAGCCAAGTTGGGTACATGTTTTAAAAAGGTTAAAAGTATGAGAACGAAAGACAAATTTTTTCTTGTTAATTTTAAAAGCCATGTCAATTAAACATTTATTGAGACCTACCTTGTATGCAAAAGAAGTAAAACTATAAAAGTTAGTATAAAATTCAACGTAAATGTTTTTATCAAAAATTATTGTTAAAATGGAATTATTAGTTTTGTATATAGTTATATCTAAAAAAGAAAGTCTGAATGCTACTTCTTTTTCCATTGTGAAAGAAATTGATTTGTGTCTGGTATTGATGCAATTAAGAAAACTGGAAGCATGAATTTTAGAAGAAAATACCACAAAGATGTGGTCAACATATCTTTTATAAAAGTTTGGTTTGACTCCATTATATGATTTAAATACTTTTCTTTAAAATTACCTGTAAAATGATTTGCAAGAACCGGTTCATATGGTGAACCCATTGCCACTCCATCGATTTGATTATAAAATTGTCCTTCAAATTTAAATTGTGTTTTAAAAGTTGCAGAGTAAAATAGTTGTATTAATTTTTAAATTAGGGTTACTGTTAAGAATGAAATTTACTGCCATGTCTATGGTTTCAGGTAAGGGGATGCTGGTAAATAAACTAGACATGTCGTACAATATGAAATATTGATCAATGAAATTAGCACTATTAATCTCATTAACGAATAAAAACAAATTCTTTGTACAGAACTCAGATGGTATAAGCAGGTCTAAAAAATCACATACAAATTTTTTGAGGTTATAATTATGTTTTAATAAATGAGGCTATCGGTCTGAGATGTATGATTTGATCCCCGTTTACAATACAATGACACTATTTCCTTTGTCAGGTTTAAAAACAATAACATTAAAGTTTTTACTTTTTTAGTTGTCCATATTCTTCATTCTTTTTTAATTTAGTTTGAATAAAACTGTCGATAAGCTTCTAAGATAAATATATGTTAGTGTGTTTTAAGCATCTAGGTGGAAGTGAATAATTTAAACCAAGTTTTTATATATTCAGCTCTTCATCAGAAAGAAACTCTGAAATTTATACTAATTTTTATAGTTTGACTTCTTTTTTATATAAAGTAGGTCTCATTAAATGTTTAATTAACAAGGCTTTTGAAATTGACAACACAAATTCTGAATTTCGTTCTTATATTTTTAACCTTTTTAAAACATTAAAGGAAAACATGTACCCAATGGATATATAATTAGCTAATGTGTACTAATGATGTTTGATTTGACAGCACAATTTCAAAGAAAAAGATCCAATCCCATTAAATGTTCATCATATGCCTATCAGTACAACATTTGGTTTCATTGATGATGGGTAATTTTTATTTTAGTATTTTTTTTTCATTTTTTTTTTCAAAAAAATCAGTTTTAGTTTAAAAGAATAGCTATATTTTGCTATGTTTTGTAATAATTTTATCAACAAGATGTATAAAATATCAGTAGTAAACTAATTGATTACTTTATTATATGCATAAATTACAATGTAATAAGTTTAGAAGGATTTATATTAGAGTTATTAAGTAGATGATTTCAAAGATTTCTGTAAATATATAATTCTATCAAAAGGATATTTGCTATCAGAAATATTTTTTTTTTTGTACCAAAAGCATTGAAAATTATCAAAATACTTTGGGTAGTTATAGTATGCATGTAATACTTCCAAAACTTCCAAATATAGCACTTGCTAAACAAGCACTTTTGGTAACTACATTTTAAAGTGTGTAATGAAAGTTTATTTATCAAACAGTTAGAATTGTAAAAATGAAGCATGTGTATGTTTGTTTATGTATTTTTGAAAATTTGGTTGTAACATGTGATGTATTAATTCATCTTCCAAATTCATCACTTGATTTTTTTACTTGATACAAAGTTGATTTTTTTTTTTAAATTGTAGTGAACAGATGATTATTGATCCTGAAGAAAAAGAGGAGAGTATTCTCTCTGGCAAGCTTATAATGGCATTCAACATTTATGGTGAGGTCTGTTGCGCTCAAATGAGTGGTGGAGTCTCTTTTGATTATGAACAGGTTTTTTTATTATTATTATTTTTTTGTTTGTTTATATGTGTTTTCTTTCGATAAAACTAAAATTGGTGTTTAATGCATTTGTTTACACCAGATCAAAATTTTTGTCCTAAATATCTATATCCTCAATTGTCTTGGTAATAATAACATCAGTAATAAAACAATAACAGCAATATATATAAGGTTGCAGTCAATCAATATGCCAAAATATTTAATAACTCCAAAAGGATATAGTTGATTATTATTAATTTTGATTTAATTTAAACATTTTTGTTGACACACAAAAAAAACTTAGTATTTAACTAGTGAACCAAATTTTTCAGATTTACATAGAAAAATGGTGTGATTTGTTAATATGCGAAAGTTCAGCAAATAGAAACCTCATGCATATCAACTTGTTACATAGAGAACTATGTAAAAATATAAATAAAATCTTATAATTTTTCTGTAAATCTTTAATTTTATATTATTATTTTAATGTTGTTTTAGATTTTACAATGTGCAAAGATTTCTTCAGTTAAGTCATCAGAGATAACTAACATAATAAAAACTGCTCTTGATGAAGACAGAACAAGCAGGTGCTTTTAAAGAAGCTGATAAGCTTAATAAAAATTTATATGTATAATAAAGTTAGCTATTAGTTAGTGATTTATACTGTACAGATATTTACACTATATATTGTAAGTATTTACAATATATCGTGTAAATATCTGCACAGTATAAATCATAAAAAATTGCTAAACAATTTCATTATACTTATATATATATTATAAATATTTACACTATTTATTATTCAATACTATTTATTTAATAAAAGAGCTCCTGTACCTTTGAAAAAACGTCCTGCATTAAAAGATCCACCAAATCTCATCACAAGAACTGTTGCAGAACCTACTCCTGTTGATACTATTTGCTTGAAAGGTAATCTACTTATAAGCCAAATATTTTGAAATTGTATAAACACTTTTTTGTTTTGTTTACTCATTTACACTATCCCTATGTCAGTCAGTGTTTATGTGAATTTACTTTTGTAATTAATACAACTCTCTCAACCTTAACAATCAAGTCCCGTAAGCAACTTTTATAGAGAGCTAAAAGTATATACATCGACTATCAAATAGCCTGACTCACAACAAAGTGTTTTTACATTGACTGAGGGTTTGGTTTGGGTCAGCATCAAGGTCAGGCTTAGGATTAGGGTTATGGCAAGGTTTAAATATGGTTATATTACTATAATTAATCATTTTAGTAAATAGAGGAAGAAAAAAAAAATAAATATAATAAATAGAAATAACAAAAACAAATATAAAAAATATATTTTTATAATAAAATAATTAATTTAAATATGTATAAATAAAAAAAGAAATAAAATAATAAATTTGAAAATTTATATAAATATGATAAAAATAATAGAAAAAAAGTAAAAAAAAAACATGTCTCTGTAAACGCCCACTAGGAGTGTATATATATATATCTGCATATATATATACATATATGCATATATATATGCATATATATATATATATATATATATATATATATATATATATATATATATATGTGTATATATATATATATATATATATATATATATATATATATATATATATATATATATATATATATATATATATATATATATATATATATATATGTAAATATGTATGTATATATATGTATATACATATACATGGGTTTTTTTGGGTCATAAAACATTTTGGCGTTCTTTTGGAAGAGTTTTTTTAATTCTGTCTATTTGTAGTATAAGACCATTATAACCACTAATACAATGTGTGTACACCAATTTTAAGTTATAAGTTAGTTATAAATCTAGGTATATTTTTCGTTTTAATCTATGTATATTGTATGTTTTATTAGTTTTAATTGATTATTAATTTAGTTGACAAAAGTGTTAAGTTATTGTAGAAAAGTATAGTGTAGCAATACACACACAAAAAAAAAGTATTTAATTAAAAAAGTCAATAATTTACTAATTTTAACATGTCTTTAAATTTTAGAATATATTCTAAATGAAATGAAAACTAGTTTTCTGGCTCTTCCAGTTGGTAAATGATTTCACACAATGAATGTTAGAATAAGTTGTAAAACTTCTCTCATGTGTTGTACTTGAAGTTGGTAGCTAAGAAATTCTAGATGCAACTTTTGATTGGTAGTTCGATAGTTCTTTATTGCATCAGCTATAGGTGACAGCAATTAAAAAAACTTTCAACTTAATGCCAGAAAACATCTGGTAGGATAAATTTTTTTGTTGCTGAGTTGAGTCCAATGTTTTTGGGTTGCTTATTATTCTGTATGCTATCTAAGCATGCTACAGTTGATCTCCACCTTGAAGTAAAAACACTAAGAAATTATTGTAACAAATTGATTCAGAAAAAGATGTTCCAAAATAATCTGATAATAAAATAAATAAAGACAAAATAGAGGAACATAAAATTAACTAATAAATTTTTATACTGGTACAACCTGATAACCTTAACATTAACAACTAAAAAAATTAACTTTACGTATACCAAAATAAAAAGAATTTTTGTTAAATTCAGTTTTAATTATCCTATATAAATCTGAAATTAAAATGTTTAATAATATTGCTATTAAAGTTGAGTTTAGTAGCTTGAATAGTGAATTTTAAAATTTTCATACAAGAAATAAAAACCTTATATATATATATATATATATATATATATATATATATATATATATATATATATATATATATATATATATATATATATATATATATATATATATATATATATATATATATATATATATATATATATACTCTTGCATGGTAGTTAAAAAGAGTTTCCCATAAACTGTAGTTTTAAAGAGCGCGTTAATAAACCAGACCAGAAAAAGTTTAAAAAGTTAAATTTTTTTTTTTTTTTTAAATGATAGACTGCCTGCCCAAACCAAACCTTCAGTCGATGTAGCAGCACTCCCTTGCGAGTCAGGCTATTTGTCAGTCGTTGTAGCAGCACTCCCTTGCGAGTCAGGCTATTTGTCAGTCGATGTAGCAGCACTCCGTTGCGAGTCAGGCTATTTGTCAGTCGATGTAGCAGCACTCCGTTGCGAGTCAGGCTATAAGATAGTCGATGTAGCAACATTTACGCATGTTTTAAAAATGTTTTTTAATAAAACAAAAACAAAAACACCACTAATAAAAAAAACTTTCTAGTCGTTATAATTGCGGTTTTTTAAAAAATTTTTAAAAAACAATAAAATTTAATGTACTTCCGCATTAATTTAATTGCTTTGACATTTCAACGACAATCAAATACAGCTTAAGAGACGAGGTATTTAAAATTGTAGTCGTAAGAGACTTTTTTTACATTAAAACGCTCTTTCGACTACACTATAAGGAGATACATGAATACATATACATACATACATATATATATACATGCAAAAACATATATATATATATATATATATATATATATATATATATATATATATATATAAGTATTGCGTAAGCAGTATAAGGTAAGCAATCTGACGTCATACTGAAATAGCCTGCTGCTGGGGGCTTCAGTGCATACATCGACTGACAAATAGCCTGACTCGCAGTGGAGTGCTGTTACATCGACGGAGGGTTTGGGATGGGGAAGCAGTCGTTTTATTCATCATTCTTCGTTTTTTCTTCTTCTTTTTCAAAAAAAACAGTATAGCATAAGGTAAGCAGAAAAAGTGAACAAATGCTTATCAAAACACGCTTTTATTCATCATTCTTCGTTTTTTCTTCTTCTTTTTCAAAAAAAACAGTATAGCATAAGGTAAGCAGAAAAAGTGAACAAATGCTTATCAAAACACGCTTTAGTAAGTGTGTATATATATATATATATATATATATATATATATATATATATATATATATATATATATATATATATATATATATATATATATATATATATATATATGTATATATATATTTATATATATATATATATATATATATATATATATATATATATATATATATATATATATATATATATATATATATATATATATATATATATATATATATATATATATATATATATACATATATGTATACTTTTTCATAATATATATAAAAAAATATATATTATGAAAAAGATCTTTTTGAATAAACGAAACGAAAAACTACAATTGTTGTACTTTAGAGCAACTTCTTTTAGCAATTGACTTATAAGTAACTTTTTATTCTTTAAAAATAAGTTATTTTAGAAACATAGGGTAATCATTATTGTCTGGTGCTAACATTCTTTCCCCAACACTGTTTAATAGTTTGCTGAAACTTCATTTTTTTAATTTTTTTTTTTTGCTTTATTGTTTAGATGTAGAACCCATTGTGGTTGAACAGTATCTTTTCTTATTTGAATAAAATTAGAAGATCTTTTTGTAAAAAAAATGTTAGCATTGCTAAACTGCGTGCTGTTTTTGAGTTTTTTAATCATAAATAAACACTTAATCCGTTTTTATCTTAAAAATTTTTTTTTTTAAATAATAGTTGGTGTTTAATAAATATCCATAAAATTTATATATTCTCTAAGTTTTTAAAGTTTTTAAAAAATCAAACAAAAATGTATTTCTTTAAAGTATTTTTTTATTATTATTATTTCAATGTTAAATTTCTATTAGTCTATTATTTCTGATTTTCTTATTTGAGAAGAAATTGATTTGGCTGGGTCTTTTACAAGGTACATGTTGACTTTCTTGAGACAGGATTTTATCTTAATATAAGCTTGTTTCTGATATCTTGTGTGTCATTTCTTTGCATAGACCATTCCTTTTAGAATCAAATGGATGACATTCTGGTATGTTTGGAAGCCTATCAACAATGGTCACAAAATTTATGGAATTCTTTTCAAAGGACATCATTGCTTTAACACAATACCATGAAGGTCATGATAAAATAAGTATTAGCCATCATTAAAATATTCTATGATAAAAGACACTAATCGCTTTTTAATGCAATTGCACAAGTAAAGATTTTGGTTAATTACTGTTTTAACACCTCTTTATCAGAAATGCACAACAAAACAAGTATTTTTTGATAAAATTTGCAGTTTTTCTATATTTTGCCTGTGTAGGAGTTTGTTCAACGTTGCTTGAATAAAAAATATAGTTGCCATTGATTGTTCTGTGAGCCAATCCGAAATAAGGTTTATTGTCATTGATTTTCCTTGCAAATTCCAATAAACGCAATCACATCTTTAGTTATATTTTTCTTGCTAGTCATTATTTTTCTTTGGTATCCTTTTCATTTTATTGTCTTTTTCATTCATTTTTCTGGCAACACAATCCCTTCCTTTAAATCTTTTATTTTTGAGCCGTTTTCACCACGCTAGATTATGTCGGAGATGATTTGTTTTGGAATTTTTTCTGTTTTAAAATGATCCAACCTAAACTTCTTTTCTTAAGATTGATGAGTTGAATATTTTCTTAGAAATGTATAACTTTTTTACAAAACGTGATATACTAAAAAAGACTATTAAACTTTTCAACAAAATAGATAGTTTCTTATAACACGAATGGGATGCGGATGTACCTTTTTTTAAACTTCAACTTTTCATGGATTTTTATTGAACACCAGTTACTAGTTAATAATTAAAAAATAAAATGTTCAACAAATTTTATATGATTTAATACAAATTGTTTAAATACATTAAATCAAAAGTGCATGTGTTTTAATGCTCAAAATAGTTTGATAGGTTTATTAGTTTTTTCATGGCCTTTTATAATAACAGGCCTTGACATCACACAATAAAGTTGTTTTAGCTGGAAGGCTGATTTATAATACTGTGTTTACATTTTCACCTTTTAACTTTAGACAAAAGTTTGCTTTTGCGCTTTTTTGATAAATCTTTCAAATTTGATTGGTTCTAAACTAGATAGTGTAATTTTAAGATGTAAAAGTGTTGTATGATGATAATATTGTTGAACTAATGATACATTGTAAGATAGCAATTTTGTTGAACTAACGATAAAATATCTTAATAGCTAAGATTCTTTTAAAATGCTGTTTACCTCTATGCAAGTCGAACAACCACTCAACTACAACAAAAATATCAATTTATAAATTCCCAAAGAATCCAGATGATGCATTTTTTTGAAAGCAATTATGGGAACCAACGGCCATAAAACCCTCCATCTGTTTTTAAAAATATTCCACCTAGTTGTTTACCCACATCAACAAATAAAGTTAGAATAGCTGTAACTTCAAGTGGTCTTTGAAATATTTAACAAGATGAGTTAAACCTTTTTCTAAATAAGGATGAACTTATATTTGACCTTTTTTTAAGTGATAATAACGATGTTATTGTTTTCCAGCTTATTAAAAATAGTTTACACATACAATTAAAAATGTGCAAACTTGGTGTTTTATTTTTTCTTTTAGAATTTTTTGATGGTTATTCATTTGTAGCTTACCATAATGCAGGGATTATCTTTTTCCCGATCTCTGCAAATCCGGATATTATTCTCAATTTTTTAGTTTTTCCGGATATCCAAAACATTTTCCATACACTCAAATTTAGGTATGTATTTTTGTAATATATTTCTTTTTTAAACTTTTTAACTCAGTATTCATGCAAAAATTAAAGTTTAAAAAATAAGTGAGAAACAATTCAGCTAAAAGCAAAATTAAGAGGAAAATATATTTTGGATTTTTTCTGGATATTCTACCCAAACAAGTTTCCGGATTTTTAAATTTTGGTCTGGATGATCTATGATAATGGCACAACGTAATTTTTAATCTTTAACTGTGAACAAAATAAAGTTAATAAAAACAAAATCAGCTTTATTTGAAGCAGTTAGAATTTTAAAGAATAAAGAAAGTTTGCAACAGTTAAATATTCTATTTTAGCTATGAGAAAAGTTAATGTAGGTGAAGTTTTATATACTCCAGATATATGCAGAGCGTATGAGTATTTTAATAAGCTTAATGGAAGACCTAAATTTCATAAAAAGTATTTTTATGAATTTAGATCCATTGAAAAAATGTTTAATACTTTTAATTGATGAGGTTTATATCAAAGCTTACTTTTACAAAGAGGTGCTTTGTTAATTCATTAAACTAACTTGTTTGGGCAGTAAACAAACCTGAAAAGTTAGCTAAAACTAAAATTAATTAACTAAAATTTTATCATTTATGATTAAATATCCTTTTGGTGGTCTCTAATTTATAAGTAAAACTCAACCTGTTGTAAATCTTTCCACTAAATTTTAGCTTGCTCAATTTCCACAAACTGTTGATACAATAAATTATATTGATAATAGTAGACACTGACAATAATTACTTATGGTAACTGTGTAAATCATCGATTTTTTGAAATAATTTAAAGCTGCCATAAGAACGCATCCAGAGATTGAAAATAAAATATTTGAAGGTACTGCTGTATTTATTAAAAAATTATTTTGTTTTGGATTATTGTTAATATCAAAGCACCTGGTGCTGGCATTCGGTTTAGAAATGAGTTATTGAGAAATCCACTCGTTTGGTGATAAAAAGTTTCAACTGCTACGAGATATTGCTGAACTGTCAAATTTTATGAAACCTACATTTAAGCGAGTAAAACAGATACCTGTAATGCAATAGCACATACATGCTATGGCTTAATTCTTATCAGGTTGGTTTTCAACAGATCCATTTGAAAAGCTTTTTCTAAGCTTCAACAGGGATCTGTAGGTACTTACTTAACAAATGCTAAATCTATTATTGAAGAATGAGTTTTGTAATTTATTATGCTTTTTTCTTATGTTTTTTGTTTCCTCTGTAGCTTATGTCTCTCTAAATATTTGAATTTTTAAATATTTACCCTGTTAAAATATATTGTTAAAACTTTTTTTTTTGTATGAATTGATTTTTGTTGGTGTTTTTGATTGTTGGTGATTTTCATTAACTTTTTTTTTAGTTATGTTTCTATAAGTAAAAAAAAATACAGTTATCTTTTTAATATATAGTTATATATATTGATATGAATCTGCTTGTTATTGATATTACATTGATATTCTATGAAATTATCTAATAAAATATCTATGATGAAATTAGAAATACAAAAAATATAATTATCTATTATCATTTTTTGGGTTTTTCTTTTATATTTCTGTCTTCATTAGAGATTTTTATTAGAAAACATATACTACCATTACACCCTACCTTATATGAAAATAAATCAATAAAAGTAATAAAAGTTTAATTGGCCTTCAGTTATTATGTCAAGGCCTGTTATTAAAGAAGGCCGTTTTTTTTTTTTTTTTTTTAGTTTGTCATCTTTATTTATTTCTAGATATTTTTTTGTTATGTTGAATTTAACTAATTATTTTCTTTAACTTGATTTAAGTTTTACTGAAAAAGCTGAAAGATTGGTAAAGAATTGTTTTTTGATTTTATTAAATAAGGCACAATGTAATGTTTTTTTATATATATGTATGTATATTAGCGATGTGACTTTTTGGTAACTCCAGTTTCCAATATAAAAAACAGATGAACTTTTGTTTGAAAGTAACTAAAAAGTCATTGGTTTTATTTAATTTTTGAAAAAGGTCTCACCATGACCCTTGATTACGCACTGGCTCCCATATATCAGTGAATTTCTTCAAAAGTATATCAACCTGGGTCTCAAAAGAACCAGAATTTCATAGAGATTTCAGAAATAATAATGGTTTTAAATAAAAATGACTTGCTTAAATTTTATATACAAACAATAATTTTTAACTAAAAATTGTAAAGGTCGTTTTTTATGACATTTTGTTTGCGATATATATTTTTTTAATATTTAAGTAGAAAAGATTGTGAATTTAAAAAGATTATTGCACTCAGTTTTATAAAAAATAAAATCACTGATATATAGGAGCCAGTGTGTAATCAAGGGTCATGGAGGGTGACCTTTTTCAAAAATTAAATAAAATCAATGACTTTTTAGTTACTTTCTGTGAAGCCATAAAACTTAGTAATTTGCAGACAAACAGTAACAGTGTTTACATATATATACGTGGCAATTATAAGTAGTAAATATGTAAAGATGGTCTACATATAAAAGAATATATATTTTTATTTTTCTATTAATAGTGTTTTATTAACGATACAACAATGGCACTACAAGTAGGATCTGATTTGACTTTAGATTATCCAGACAATGCAGAAGTATAGATTAGATGCTTTTCAGCTTCCGCACATTCAAAGAAATTAATAGATGAGATAAACGGTAGCTACGAGATAACAGATTTATTTCTGGCAAAAGCAGGCATTGAAGCAGTTAAAAAGATTTCCATTATGGTATATCCAGAAGAATTAGAAAATATGATGTTCAATGATATTAAAACTGTTGTTATGTCCCATTTGAGGCCTCAAAAAGACTAACTATTGCTGAAAGAGTTCGATTTTTAGCATTAAAACAAAAAAACAATGAAAATATCGTATCATATGCGCAAAGATTACACAAAGCTTCACGTTTTTTTAACTTTTTTTCCTAATTTTTTTTTTTTTCAAAGAAAAATTGAGAAAAGATGGCTAAAGTGCAGAAGATGATTTAATTCAAATGAGATTGATTGATAGCCTCCAATCTTCTGATCAGAGAATTTTATCAGGCAACTTGAACAAATATCCTCTTTTAGTATACAAAGCAATATTGAAAACAACTTCAGTTAATTATATTGATAAAAATATAGAAAAAACAATTAAATGCAAGTATTGTGGCCTTCAACACCTACCTAGGAAATGCCCAGCATTTTGGAAAAGTTGAAAGAAATGTGGGAAATTAAACCACTTTAAAAACATATGCAAAGCAACATTAAGTATGAAAGAACAGTAGAGGAAATAGAGAACGATGATGCTAGTGTATATTCCATTAACATGAATGAGACAAACTCAAAGATTTATGTAAAAATAAATGATTACAATATAAAAATGCAAATTGACACCGGATGTCAGGTCACAATCATTCCAAAAAAATTTTTGGGAACTAATGTCTAAACTTAAATTACAAAAATGTTATCTTCGCCTGAAACAGTTTGATAGTACAGTTATTAAAGTCCTAGGCGAGTTTGAGGCAACTTTGAAAACTGAATCAAAAATGAATATTGAACAAACTATCGTTGCAGACTGCAAAAAATCATGGTTTAATTGGTATAGATGTATTAAATATCAATGCCACAAAATTAGTTAATAGTATAGAACCAATTGTTCATAGGCGTTTAATTAATTACAAAGCAAATATAATGTTAAAAAACGGCATACAACCAACTTATTTTGAATCTTGACCTCTTCTTATTCGCATAAGACCACAAGTGATAGATAAACTTAATGAAATGATACAGCAAGGATTGTTTCTAAGGGTTCCTCCTGGTGGAAGCAAATAGGCCTCACTACTTGCGGTTGTTAGAAAAACAGATAGAGATTTACGCATATGTGCAGATTACAAAATAGGTGTTAATCAAAAAATATGCTCAGATTCATACCCTATTGAAACTGAGCATATTTTTATATTGAAACTGTATTTCATAAAATGAAATAAATATTGAAACTGTATTTCATAAAATGGCAGGAATGAAATATTTTTCTAAAATTGATCTCAAGGGAGCTTATCATCAAATTGAGATGGACAAAGAGGCACAAGAAATAACGACAATTAATACCCCTATCGGATTGTTAAGATGGACTGTTAAGATAAGATGTTTACCTTTTTGAATAAAAACTGCAAGTGCGATATTTCAAAGAGCGATAGAATCTGTTGTTGGTGGTATTATACCTAATATGATTATATTTCAAGATGATATGTGTTAGTGGTAAAAGTGCTGAAGAACTTAAATCGAATTTGAATAAAATTTTGAGCTAATTGAAGAAATTGGGAATAAGTATAAACAAAAATAAGTCACTGAATGAAACGAAAAGTCTTTCATTTTTAGGATACAAACTGTCAGAAAAGGGAATTACCCTAGATCGTAATTTGGTCAGAAAAATATTCAAAATAAATCCTAATGATAAAAAGGAACTTGAGTCGTTTATAGGATTAATAACCTTTTATGGGCGACACATTGAAAAATATGCTGAAAAATTTTACCTTTAAATAATTTAAGAAAGAGTTACATTTGAGTGGAGGAAAGTGCATCAACATGCATTTGAGTTGCTAAAAAAGAACCTTTGTGAAGAACTATAGTAAAAGTTTATGACATCAACAAAGATCTAGAATTAACAACTGATGCCAGTGAACAAACTATATCTGGAATACTTTCACAAAATGGTCATCCTGTATTGTATCTCTCACGAACTTTATCAGACGCTGAGACAAGATATTCTAATATCTAGAGAGAAGCGTTAGCTATTGTATGGTCAACTCACAGAGCTAGGCATTTTTTGTTGGGTAGGAAATTTAAATTAATATCAGATCACAGACCATTAGAGTTTATATTTGGTTGTAATAAAGAACTGCCTTAAGTGACATCTGCTAGAATTTTAAGATGGGCCCTACAAATGATGGCATTTGAATACAAATTAAGCTATAAGAAGGGAGAAAACATGATGTATTATCGAGATTGTCTTTTCTACTACAAGATGAAGAGAAGGACCAAGAAACCTTTATACACTTAATCGAGTGAATCTAGAGCAAATAATAAAAGAAACAGAAAATGATAGAGTATTGATGGATATCAAAACCAGAATTAGCAAAAATAATTGTAGCAGGTGCTTTGCGGCAGAAAGACCTTATAAAGCTATTAGATTGACTATTGAAAAGGAAATTGTATCTAATGGTGATCTCATTGTACCTCCTAGAACAATGAGAAAGATGTTCATCAAATCGGTTATGATGACACACATTGTGGCACAATGCAAACTCGATGTAGATTAAATTTAGAAGCGTGGTGGCCTGGCTACTGTCAAGATGTTGAAGAATATGTGAAAAACTGAAAAATGTGCCGAGATAAAGGCGAATAAGGAGAGGACGTTACAAACATGGCCGAATGAAAATAATCCTTAGTGTAGAGTGCATATGGATCATGTCTATGTACAGGGTGTCGGACTATTTTTAATTCTAGTAGATTCTTTTTCTGGCTGGCCTGAAGTTATGAGGGTAAATAATCGTGAAACTGCCACAGTGAAGGCAGTACTACAAAGTGTTTTTTCAAAAAATTGAGTTCCAGAGGTTTTGGTGTCTGATAGTGCTGCAGAATTTCATGATACCACCTTACACCAGCGGCTAAAAAAAATGTTGCTTGCCTTATAAGACCCTACCTTACCATCCTCAATCTAATGGAGCAGCTGAAAGAATGGTAGAGACAGTCAAGATGGGTTTAAAAGCTTATTCACCGGATAAAGGTTTATTATGTGGATATTTAAGCAGAATGCTTTTAAGTTACAGAAAAATACCTCATGCAGGAAGATCAAGGAGTCCTTCCGAGATGTTGGGGAGGCAATTGAGATCTCCTCTCACTATGAGTTTTGAAAGAGGAACACCGTTATGGTATCGCCAAAAACCAGATTCCGAACCTGAACCTGCTTCAATTATCTCTCAGGCTGGTCAAAACACTGTCATTTTGAGGAATAACTATTCAGGTACATTAGCACATTTTGAGGAATAGCTCTTCAAAACCAAAGTTTATCTGTTTTTTATATTGAAAATTGGAGATACCAAAAAGTTGCATCCCTAATGTAAGTGTATATATATGTGTGTGTGTATATATATATATATATATATATATATATATATATATATATATATATATATATATATATATATATATATATATATATATATATATATATATATATATATATATATATATATATATATATATATATATATATATATATATATATATATATATATATATATATATATATATATATATATATATATATATATATAGGGATACGGTACTGCTTCCATAGGATCCGGTGGTGAAAGTTTATGGGTAATTAGCGATGGAAGCGATAATGAAGATAGTGTAAACCAGATCGCAGCGAATAATGAAATAAATCTAATAAATCATAAAGGTAAAAAAATCCTTAGAGTGGTTGTTTATTTTTATTTATGTTAGATTTATGTATAATAATAGTTTGTTTTTTTTAGAAGATATCGTGGATAGTGAGGAAGAAGAAGTTGCAATTCTTGATGCAGCTCAACTTGAAGGACATTCAAAGTAATTTTTTAATAATACGTTGACAAAGATTGTTTTCTTTTTCCTAAAAATATAAAAATATTTTTTGTTTTTTCTACTATCTATGTTTTACTTTTTTTACTTGGTTAAAATTTAACATCATTCATATTTCAAAAACTAAACAATATTTGATTACCCACTAGCTTTACTTCGTTAGTTTGTGCTGATAATGGTTTTCATTCAGTGTTTTAATTAAAAATTTTATATTTTACTTTTTCTAGAAAATCTGGTACTGAGATTTTAAATACTACTGACCTGACCACAGATATCTTGAACACAAACTCTATCATTAATAAGACAAATCGCAGTATAAATAAAAAGAAGAAAAAAAAGAAGAAAGTTGTTTTGTAGCTTTTGGTATTAATCGGGCTTTTTAATCGTATTATTAAAATGATAATTATTAATATCTTTTGTCGTTTAATCTAAAATTACATTCTTATCATTAACAAGATAAATCTTATATCTCGTAATGTGATTTAAAAAAATATATGAACAATATCAAGTAAGTTCCTTATCACATAAACTATCTTTGCCCACACTATTTTTCTTTTTAATTTATTTTGATTAGTCGGTTGTATGTTGGCGTTGCATTAATATATGGTGCGACAACGTTGAATCTTCGAGTCAACGTCGTCGTTTTACACAACTCATTAAAGTGTTTGATTGGTATCGGGTTAATTGTTAATGGGCATTCGATAACATAGTACATGTTTCATTAGATTGATATTTCTCGTTGTATCAATCTACTTTCTCTGAATCACACTTCTTGATACTTGTTGCTTGTCCAACAAAAAAGTTTCATAAGAAAAAGATGTCATTATAAGATATAGACTTTTTATTTTTTAGTTGCTCACCACTAAAAAATAAAATTCCCCAAATTTCAAGAGTATCAGCATAATTTAAAAAAATAACAAAAGTATCATTTTACAATTATTTAACCATACAATTGTGAAAATGTGTCAAAAAGTTTGCAAAATCAGTCACTTTTGAAAAACAGTAATTTGGAAACCGCAAGAAATTAGAGCTTCACATTTGGCAAAACGTTTAATGCACATAAAATAAAGGGCCTGTACCAAAATCACTGCTACATTTCTAGTTTAAGTTGTAATTTGATTTTTTTTGGCAAAAATATCAAAATTTAGAGAATTGGCTAATGAAATCAATCAAAAAATGTCTGTAATTCTTTAAGTACTTTGTTTTTGGCATTAATTTTGCTACAGGCCTTTCATCATTATATGTAGGACATGTCTTAAAAATTTGAGGCTAAAAGCTGTAGCCATTAAATAGTTATAATTTTCACAATTTGTATTACAAATTACAAATTGTGCAAAAAAACGAATGCTGAAAAACAACAAAAGCATTTTATTACTAAAAAAAATATCAAAAACTTCCAGATGAGTAATTTTTATAAGTTTCTAGTTTGTTGTTCTTCATCTTACTAATCCTTAAGAAGAAATTTTTAAGAAAACTTTTAAGTAGAAATTTCTTTCTCAAAATCAATAAAGAACAAAAAAGTTATTCTGTATTGGGAACCTCAACATAGATTGGTTAAAATACAATGAGTTTCCGAATACTAAATTATTTTTTGATAAAAGGTTTTAACATTGAATTTTACCAATTATTAATAAACCCACACGGGTAACCTTAAATTCTATTTCTGCCATAGATAACATACTAACAAACTCATTTCTAGATATCTCCTTGAAAGCAGGAATAGTAAAAATTGATATAACAGATCATTTTCCAAATTACTTTACAATAACAAATGATACAAGAATAAATAATAATTGGAAAAAAATAACTTTTAAAAGAAAAATAAATAAATTTTCTATTCAAAATTTTAAAGACACACTATCGGCAGTAGGTTAGATTAAAGTGTATCAAGAATGTAACCTTGGGAACGCAAACTCTGCATATAATACTTTTACAGATATTTTTCTAAAGCACTATAACAATCATTTCTGATCAAAGAAAAAGAAATCAAATTAAAATATTTGAGCTGTCCATGGATTACCAGTGGAATTTAAAAATCTTCAAAAACAAAACAAAACCTATACGTTAAATATCTGAAAAACAGAAATGAGAATAACCTATCTACTTATAAACAATACAAAAATCTTTACAAAAAAATGAAAAAACATTCTAGAAAGATTTACTTTCAAAAAAAATGGAAACATGAAAAAAACATGGATTATGAACGAAATAATCGGCAAAAAAAAAAAAAAAAAAAAAGTTTACCAGATAGAATTATTACAAATGAAACCAAACTCGATGATAAGAACTCAATTGCCTAACACTTCTTTAAGATAAGAACTTCAATTGCCAAACAATTTCTTTGCAAACATAGGCCCAAACATGGCGTCTAAAATTTTAACTCCAAATGACTTCTTCGAAAATTATCTTACAGATCTAAATAGCGAACTAATTTTCAACGGATTAAGCTATGAAGTACTCCAAAATGCAAAAAACTCTTTAAAAATTAACGAAGCACCAGGAATTGATGAAATTTGTAGCAGTGTAGTATGAATATCTTTCCAATTTAAAAAAACCCCTCTTCAAAATATTTAAATCTTCGATTATAACAGGAACCGTTCCAGAAAAAAATTAAAAATTGCAAAAGTTGTACCAATATATAAAACTGGAGAACCATATTTAATAAACAACTATAGACCAATCTTGATCCTTCCTGTATTCTCAAAACTTCTCGAACGAATAATTTATAATAAACTGTACATGTATTTAACAAACAATTACATCTTAAATAAAAAAACAGTTTGGATTTCAAAAACAACATGCAACCGAACATGCAATCATAGATCTTGTAAATAGCATCAACTACTCATTTGATAATAATTAATTCGTTCTAGGAATCTTTATAGATCTATCGAAAGCATTCGATACTGTTGATCATGAAATCCTGCTCAAAAAAATGGAAAAATATGGCGTAAAAAATATTGCATTACTCTGGTTTAAAAGCTTTTTGCTAAACAGACAACAATGTGTTAATACTGATGAAAATATCTGTTCAAAAATGCTAAAGATCAAATGTAGCGTTCCCCAAGGTTCCATTCTAGCTCCCTTACTGTTTTTAATATTCATCAATGATCTGCCGATAACCTCAAACAAACTTAATGTCATAATGTTTGCAGATGATACTAATTTATTTTATTCATCCCCGTCAATTACAGAACTTTTTGAAACAACGAATATTGAACTCAAAAAACCTAATATTTGGCTAAAATCTAATAAATTATCTTTAAACACAGAAAAAACTAATTACATCTTATTCCATCCAAATCAAAAAAAAAACTACCAAATATATTGCCATTGCTAAGAATAAAAAACTAAAATATCGAAAGAACCGCAACTACTAAATTTCTAAGTTTACTTATTGATGAAAATATTTCATGGAAAGCCCATATTGACTATTCAAATACTAAAATAACTAAAAACATTGGAGTGCTATACAAACCTAGACCAATGTTATCCCAAGAAAATCTAAAACATCTTTATTTTTCATTTATACATACCTATTATACATATGGTAATATAGCATGGGCCAGTACCCATAAATCTGATTTAAAATCACTTTATCAACATCAAAAACATGCCATTAGAGTTGTCTATAAAAAAGATAAACTCACTCATGCTGAACCTTTTTTTAAACTCCTAAATGCACTAAACGTCTATAGAATTAACATTTACCAAAACTTATTCTTCATGCTAAAATATAAACTCGGGCTTGTCCCACCACACTTCTTAAATGAATTCTGTAAAAGCAATAAAAATAGATATGACACTAGAGAAGTAGTACGTTCAGAAAAACAAAACTGTCGCTTTCACAATTTCATATTGCGGTCTCTATCTCTATAATAAACTGATATCCAAAAATACCATAATTACAAAATTAGATGACATAAATTGTTTGAAAATCTTACTAAAAAAGTTCGTTTTAAATATCAACAATTATTTGACTAAACTTACACTAAACTAAAACTAAAAATAAAACCAAAATTATAATTTTTTTTTATAAAACAAAATCCCAAAAAACTTCAATAATATATATTAATATAAAAAATCAATATAAGTCAATAATAATTATATTTATGCCTAATAATATATTTATGTGTGTTATGTGTACTACAAACAGCATTTACCAACTTATTTATTTTTACATTTTATTATATGTGAACCCAATTTTTTTCTAAAGTGTTTTTTTGTTCATACTGGTAATGCATTTTTAATCCCTACATAAGGACACTGTAGATTTTCCACCGTTCTCAAGGTTTAGGTGACTCATAACACCTGCAGGTTTTTCATTAAAATACAACACAGCTGAGTTTACTCCCAACTCAAACGAAAATTTGAGAATAAAAATGTTTTTTGGGCATCTGGACCATATAATACTGTTAAATCCCTCATTAGAATTTTGTGTTTGACCAAGAGTGCATTTTGGTTGGTCATCACTTAATTTTTCAATCTCTTTCTTAATAATATCATAAATCCATATTGGTGAATTCCATATTGTTGAAATCCATATTGGTGATTCCATATATTATTCATATTTCTTAATAATATCATAAATCCATATATTAATAATATCATAAATCCATATTGATGAATTGACTTTTGGTTTGTAATTTCTGTTACCTGCAGAGTTTCCTTTCTTCCGTTTACACCAGCTATAAGGACACATTGGACATAATACGTGGCGATGAAACTGATCCGGAAAACTAGTGCAATGGTAAAGAACTGCGCGAATATTCTTTTTCATTTGGTATACCTTTTCATTTCACTTAATGAATTATTAGCAACGGCCTGTCAAAGAGTCATACCAAAATAGTTTTTTTATTCTATTAATTGCGCATTATGTCAATTTTCTTTTTCCAGTTAACCGATTGCCATGATGTTTATCTTTTTTTCAGTTACGTTGTCTTCTACTAATGCGCTTCTGGATATGACCAACACACTCTAACTTTTCCGGTTCAATTTGAAACTTTCCATATGAATTACTGTTAAGAACATCATTGAATGTAGATCTTTACAACTTTAGCACTTTCCATTGTCCCTGACGATGCTATGTGATTTAAGGAGAAAATATGATTAGCTTTCCATTCAGTATAACCTGGATGGTTCTAATTTTTTTTCCACATTCTACATCCCTTACAATACTTGCAAAAGAATTGAACATCTCCGCGTTTTTATCATAAGCCATCTGAAGAAATCTAATTTCTTTTCTGACCCAATGTGTTCCTTTTTAACTTTAACCTTTATTGCTGCTGCCTTTGTGGATTACTCTGTTAATATCTTATATGCATTTTGAATAGTGTTGTTGATTTAGTTAAACGAATTGTTATTAATACAAGAAGTGTTTGCAATTCGTGCAAAGTCCACTAAGGCTTGA